ATGCTATGTACATGCACACTCTGATTCGAGCAAACTCTCGGTCAATGACGAGCGCCCGGCCCTTGTCCACCCTTTTGCAGAATTATCTCCACCGAGAAAGAAAATAAAAAAAAAAAGCCAAACAGGGGCTTGGCCGATGGTCCTGCATTCGGAGGGGCGTGTTGCTGAGCTGAACGTGCAGGCTGGCTATGCATGAATGCCTGGATGCTAATGCTGTATGATGTAGTTGATGTATTTTCGCTACGGCGGTGCAAGGGCAATCAATCAACAACAAGAAAAAGAAAAAAGAAAAAAAAGAAAAGAAAGAAATAAGGTGAAAAATGAAAAAGCAAAAGGAAGAGCGAGACCAGTTACTCCGCACTCCGTACGAAGGATGTATGTGTGTCAGACGACGATCTGCATCTCTCGCGATTAGGCGGGAACTTTTCTATGTCTGTTTCTCAACCGCCGGTTTGGGCTCTCCTGATTTCGGAGGCTGCCGTGAAGGGAGAGAGAGAGAAGGGGGGAGGGGGGCGCCCAGGTGGACAGTTCACGAGCAAGCGAGGGTATCGACAAGGGGAATTTGAGGACAAAACCCTTCTCCTCCTCGTTTGTCGTCGTTGTTCGCTATCTCTCGCTCACCGCTCAGCAGCATCCATGGGGTGAGACCAACCGGGCCATCGTCAACCCCCATCACTTCAATCTAACTGGCCGTCAAATCACATCACGCAGATACATACATATATGTAGTTAGTACACACACACACACGCACACACGCACACACACAATCAAGGCAGATCGATGACTTGAGACGGTCAGGCCTCAGTTCCATTCCAGTTGGCCAGATAAATGATAATAATAATTGCGATCAAAATGAGATGTTCGCCTTCCATGATCCCTGCCGGGCTTCGAGTTTCATTTTCAGGTTTGACACTTCTGACAGCCACGGTCGCTGCTAGGCCGGCGATGCGTTTAGGCTTTAAGTTAGTCAGTTAACAGATAAGTTAACAAGTTGGGCTGAAGCTAGTTAGGTATGTAGTGGATGCGATGATTTGCCCTGGTTCGACCCAGCACTCTGGTTCGATCAAAACGCCTCAGGAAATCAAAAGGAAAATCGACAAGCCAAAAAAAAAAAAAAAAAAAAGAAAAAAAGAAAACCAAAACCAAAAAAAGGCAGAAAAAAAAATAAAAAAAAATAAAATAAAATAAAATGAACGAAACAGAACGGGCATCAAGCTAAGAAGGGCTGGCACTTTTGAAACGCGCTGGGCTTTGTTCGGATCCATCGGCAGAGCGAAGGCCAGACCAGACCGGCAACACGCGCTCGATGAGATGCGATGGATGGATGGATGGCTGCTGACTCGACAGCTTCATGATTTGCTTCGAGAAAAATGATAATCCAAGAGAAACGCCCGTCACCGACTCAGCCCACGTTTTCCACACCGTACCGTCGGAGCTAGCCGACATCCTTCGAAGCCGTGATGGTTTATCGTGAACCCTTCTCGAGGCGGTGACTTGCATCTTGACTTCTTCCCCACGCACTCGTCAGCCACTGACAGCTTAACGCGGTCTTTACGAGGGGAAGACGTACTAATCTGCTCCCCTAGATAAATTCTCCGGGATTTTGGCCGCTAACATGGCTGGAATGAAGTAGCATCGCATGCCGGCGGCTCGTTCCAATGTGAACTATGGAGAACAAGAGTATCCGTCCTTCAGCCCTCACGAGACAGCCCAACGGCACCCGCCCCCCAAAGTTTAGCTCAACCTACTGTAAAAACGGTCTTGTTGAGATTGCCCAGCGGTCTCGATCTCGCAAAGGTGAATCAACACCGATCAATCGATCAATCACGTTGTCTCTCAAGTTAATCTCCACCCGTTGATTCACCGACAATCCCCTCCTCCCTCTTCGGTTTTAAGCTCGTCCTTAGCGAGGCCGGCCTAGAAATGTCTCTGGAATCTTCTCGCGGACGGACCATCACGCCCAAAGCCGTGGCCCAGGTGTATGCATGTATCCATCCCACCGCCCCCAGAAACGCCCCCTCAGCCATCAGCTAGGTTCTTATTTTTTTTTTTTTTTAAAAAAAAAAAATATTTCTGTATAGTGTTTTTTATCCCCCCCTTTTTGTCCCTGCGCCCCTTCGCTTTGATTCTGGCCGGCTGGGTCTAGAACTTCTACGCCGAAGAAAGAGAACACAGCAAGTAACAGCAACAGCAATAACAAAAAAAAAAAAAAAAAAAGAAAAAAAAAGAAAAAAAGTCAATTCATGCGCCGTCTCCATCACAGCAGCTTGCAGCCAGACACAGCTCCCTTCCTGGTGCAACCTGACTCATAGAACAAGAGTTTTTTTGTACGGAGTATTTTTTTTTATTTTTTATTTTTTTTTCCGTTGGGTTTCTCAGACCTTCCCGCGTGTTCCGTGCTCTACGGAGTAGTTTTCTCTCTCAACCATTGCGCGTGAGGACAAGGGGGAAAAAGCAAAATGATCCAGCCCGGAGAAGGCTGCATATCGACTTCTACAAAGAGTATGTCCATCCATCCAGGCGTCCAACCGCCCCGGCGCCCTCCGGCAAGGCAACCGTTGGCCTGCACATGCCCTTATTGTTATCGTGCGTCTTGCCAGCGAGCTGAACCGGAAGCCCGCCAGGAGCATCCCAAAACCCACAGCGTCGGGGCGCACCACATCCTGCAGGTAACTCTTTGTAGGGAGAAGGTAGCGTACTTACGTACTGAGTGACTGTCTATACATGCACGGACGTATTTCGAAGCTGAAGGGATGCGCCTCCAAAGACACGTTGTCCATTTTGATGTGAACGGAGCTGAAAAGTGAAGCGCTCCTTTGATTGTCAACATGGATCAGGGACTCAAAATGCCTTTTTCCTTTCTTCCTTTCTTCCTCTTTTTTTCTTTTCTTTTTTCATTTCATTTCATTTTTTTTTTTTTTTTTTTTTTTTTTTTTCCCCACAAACAAAGTTGATGTGTATATCCATTGGGTTAACTGGCAACTCTAAGCATAACTATCGTCGATCTCGAGTTTGATACCGTTGTTTTTGCTACCCTGTGTACGAGAATTATGTACTTCAATCTTCAATCCACCAGCGACCTTTCAAGACGTTGGGCGGACTCGGAGACTGACAAGGCTCTGAAGAAAGGTTAGCCCTCGAAACCAGCACGCTTTTCCAGAACGGTTGGAACTAACCAGTTGGTAGTTCTAGACCACGTCCCGCCTGAAAATAAAGGGCCCGCTGTCGCTCCAAAACACGCATCCATGCTTTTTTTCTTTTTTTCTTTTTTTCTTTTTTTCTTTTTTTCTTTTTTTTTGTTTTAAAAAACAAAGCGATGCAAAATGCGGCAGGCCGATCCAGCCGAAGCAAGGCTCCTTGGATCTTCCCTTTCGTGCATGCATGCATAGGAGTATGTATTCGCCAGCCCCGTACGCCGTACATATGTAGTTACATACGGCGAAGTTAGTGCCTTTTCCTTTTCTTTTTCTTTTTTTTTTTTTTTTTGTCATGCAGCCTGTCCCATTTATGCCGGACATCAAACGTCCCGCCAGAACCGCCGCTTCGGTGTCATTAGTTAGTTTGAGGCTGGTAGATCGTCTGGAGTGGGCTCAAGACGTAGTTACTCCGTATTTGATCGGCATTTTACTCTGTATTTGTTTTCCTTTTTCAAGTCTTTTCATCTCTCCCAACGAAATCTGCAGTGGCTGGTAAATTTTCTTTTATTTTTTATTTTTATTTTATTCAAGCTGTTATTGTAGGCATTCGAGACACCTGGATAATGATCATGGGAGAGAAATCCTCATGTAAATTTGCCTGTAGGCCACGGATGAACTGTATGTATGTACTCCGTACGCACGTCGTATACTTGTATCTGAATGAAACATCCTCCCTGTGTGCCTGAGTCATTCCTGGCGATAGTCTTGTCGTCCCATCGCTTCCCAAAAGGGTCCAGGAATGCTTCACAGCCCTAACTGATCGTCTCACGCAACAAGTACAGAACCGGCTAGTATGAAAGGGGCCGGGGGAGGATTCAGGGAAATTGTTGAAGAATTCAAGGAAGAAGCCCTGCAACGGCGTTGTTGGTCGAGTTGGTCGAGCCAAACTCCTCTAGATCCTTGCGAAGTCAAGGGTCCAGACGTAAGCATTTGCTAGTTCGGTCGGTCGGCCTCCATCCGTACGTCTATGTCCACTTCCTTTTGCCCTGTTTCCCGAGATCAAAACAACGCATGTGAGTGCCGTGATGCAAAAATCATCCCACGGCACGCAAAACCTGCGACAAATCATTAGGGTCTCGGCAACTTATTCTCCTTTCCTTTAATATTAATATTAAGGATCGGGCAATCTTGTCAGTGACAACCCTGCCAATTGCAAGCATCATTGGCATCACTCCCCTGGACAGAAAATCCAATTTCTCGGGATTTAGCTTGGCTACGATCTTCAAATTTATCGAAACAGTTTGCCACCTTCGCAACCAGGGATTATTGAACGAAGGGAGGGAAAAGAAAAAAAAAAAAAAAAAAAAAGGAAAAAAGAGAAAACGAGAACGAAAAATGGTTGAAGAGGGGAAAACACAGGGAGAAAAAGAAAAATCCAAAACCTCAAGTGTGTACGACCGGCATGTGCTCCTTCGGGGTGGGGGCAAATAATATTGACTTTCTGCGCCAGATTGAAGGCGTAAGAAGAGAAAGAGTTGCCAGAATAGGCATTATTGACGTTCTATGTTTCATGCCGCTTTGGCCATCTGGCAACCTGACAGCAGACACATCCGATATGCACGTAATGTGTGCGCGGGGTGGGTGATCTCAAGGTTGAAACGAGCCCCCTTGCCCATTTCCCAGAGGAGTTTGGGATCGAGAGATCATCTCATATACTCCATGGAGTGTTCCGGGTGTACGTATGCATGCCCGAAACGAGGCCCGTCCGGCATATAAGCTTCATGTGCGGAGTACGTTTCATGGATGGCATCTCATGCGATATCTTGCGGTGTCAAATGTCCAATTTATCCTGAATTTGGGGATCAACCCGCGAGGAACGTCCGGAAGCCATAATACGCAGCCGCGACTGCTACAAAGGCTGCGAGCATCAAACCATTTCCCTCCCAGGTGAGGCCAAGGTAAGCCGCAGCACCAATGGCCAGCTCTTTGCGTCTGGCAGTTGCACGCTTGGTGTCCCAGTGCGGATCGACTTCGAAAGGAGACAGGTAAGTTCCAGGTTCCGGATGAGCTTTTAGAGGCACCGAGATGAATAGAACCACCGCACGATGATCCGAAGTTGAGAATAATGGAAGCACGGTATACGTGTGAACTTTGATGCCCTCGGACTCAGTCACAACGGAGGGATGGTTGCGATAGAGGATCCGATCGCACCAGCTTGGCCAACGGTTCTTTGCCCACTTCCAATTACCGTTGGGGTCAGCGAGTGCGGCATCCCGAGCCTCCAATGAGTACTTGTAAGTCGGTGGGAATGTAATCTTAGCTTCTTGGAGCTCGTCGAAAACCCTCCCCGCTTCGCGCTCACGAGTTAGTTGATCTTGCATGAATAAAACCGCAAAGTGGACAAAGTCATTTGGATGATCCCTTGGTCGAGGAAACCGTCTACAATCGTCCGGCCCGGGACCGGTATCTGATGTGCGGTAGTTGAAATCACCAGCAACAAGCAGATACGATTTTGGTGAATACAACGCTGATGGTGTGCTCAAGGATGATGGTGCCCGGAGAAGCGGCACCCCTTCCTCATCTTCTTGCGGATGCGTGCGATCAGAAGAACTCTCTGCTTCCTCGGGGTGGAAAACGAGCCGTTGTGCAATGCTTTTCCAGTCTTCATTCCTTCTCTTACACTCACACTCACCAGGAGCCAAGTGTGCACTGACAAAAGTCATCTCCACAATGTCATCCTCACCATCATCATTGCTATCTTCTTCTCTTCCTGCCAGATATCCAATCCGTGCTCCAACGGCACCTTTGTTCCCTGTCTCTTGAACCCCTACACCGACCTCGGCCATCTCAACGTAACGTATCCTCCCAGAAACGTCACTTCTCGCAAACACCATCAACGCGGTCAAGCCAACATTTTTCGAAAGCAGGTTGACATAATGCACACCCCCATTATCATCATACCCGGCTCCCCCTTTCACTGCAGTCGCTCTATCCACCGCGCTTCTGACAGAAGCGTAATACTGATCCAGATATGAACCGCCTAGAAAGGCATAAGCAATCGGCGCAATTTCCTGAAGTGCGAGGACCAGGATATCGGGGAGGTTTGCGTCCGCTTGTGGAGATTCTGGTTGTGATGTGTTCAGCCCGTCGAATAAGTGGGAAGCGAACTGTTCTGGTTCAACAACGTTACGAGCGCAGTTGAACGTTAGGATGTAAGCATTAAGGGATTCCATAACGGGCGGCCAAAAAAAAGGTAAAAGATAAAAGAAGAGGCCGAGGCTAGTAAATGTAAAGGCCTCCCTCAAGAGGCCCTGGCGGACCTGCGTCCAGCTTGCGAGAGATGAAGCACGTCGTCAGGCCGTCCGGGCACGAAGCTCTTGTGTCACGTGGTTTTCTTGCAGCCAACCAAACTTCTACGGAGTACAGAGTGTGCGAATACTAAGAAGCTCTATACGTGCCTAAAACTTTACTCCCAGCATCTGCTCACAAACCCACATGGCTGTCCTTGTGTGCAAACTCAGATCCCTCTCCTCATCTTGGTTCAATGGCATGTCTGCATCACCTGCCCCAAGTTTCCCCAGGGCCTGGAACACCACAACCTGATCACGCATGAATGAATCCAGGAACCGGTTCGAAAAGCCGTCTCCTAATACTTTGTTGAGGTCCCGCGTGCCACTTCCATCCGCGAGCTCATACATTAAGTCCTCGACACATTGGTCAACCAAATCCCCGATCATGCGTTCCAAGTCCGTTCCCGTCTTGTGATCTGCATTTGTCCGTGATTTGCCTTTTCCTTTTGACTTTCGTGGGCCTTTGTGGCCAGACTTCTTGTTTGATTCAAGACTACTGGGTGAACCAAGTAGTGCGTCTCGCCCCAGGCGGAAGCCTGTCGACGTATGCGCGACAAGGAGAACGTAAATTCGAGAGCGGTGGTGTGTTGACTCCGACCAGTGTAATTCGATCTTCGGCGGCTGAAAGCTGGAGTTCCCCTTTCTCTTTGCGCCGAATTCGTGGGAGACTTTCTCAAAAGTGTAGTTTTCGATGAACTCGCGAACGGAATTAGGGGCAAACCGTTTCCCGCTTTGTTGCATCTCAGGAGAGCCATCGGAGTTGGAGTCGAGCCCTAAATCTTCTTCCTGGCTCCTGTCTTTGCTATCGGTGATATGACTCTGTTTACTATTAGGGTGGTGGTATTTATTTCCTCGTTTCGAGCGGCGGGCCGATCCTGCTTCATCTAAAGACATGTCTGGCGCCAAAACCGTGATATCGATCTGCGTGATTCTCCCTCGCCTCAACACGTGGAGATCTATTCTAGGGAAAATCGGAGAGAAGGCACCAGAATCAGACATAGATTCATGATTATCCCCTGACGCCGCTCCCTCATTCGATTCTTCCCTCGTTTCTCGAAGTTTCAGAGGGGTGATCAAAAAAGATACAGACCCCAGATTCGTCTGACCCGCGCTCCAACCGCGGTGCTTCAAGTTCACGCTGAGCTGAGGTAGCCCCAGTTTTGCAAAATTTGGGATAAGGACCTGTGAGACGTAATCGTAAGAGAGAGAAAAGGAGACATTCGTCCCGCCTATCACACTCAGTTTTATACTGGATTCGCGGAGGTTTGCGTTCCTTTCGGTAACCCGAGCATTGTGGCATGCGCCAGCATACAATAAGTATGGATATAATGCTTGAAATATAAGGAATGCGGAGCCTGGGGTCTTTAGGCGGATGTTGTACTCTGACCGGATCGGAAGTACATCGTTCATCGATTCCAGTTTTATCATCGCTTCCAATGGCGCAGCGAGGCCCTCATCCTTGTCCTTGGCTTCCTCTTCCGATGCAACAGCGGCATCTTCCCTAAGTTGGCCTCGAGGGTAGAAGGTGATTTCGGAAGATCCCACTGTCGCATTGACAGCGGTGCCACCACAGACATCACGTAGGCACTGGATTGCCGCTGCATGCGATGGCCTCAGGCCGGGTCCTTGTCTATTGGCTCGAATGCGGGTTATTTTGACCGGTCGAGATGTCAGAGCAGACAGAGCAACTGCGTTCCGCAGAAGTTGGCCGCCTCCTTCGAGGGTGCTGCCGTCGAGATGTATCATTGGTAGCAGGTAGTCAACCGGAAGGGAATTCTAGATAAGTTGAGTAGAAGTATAGATGGCTCTCTACCTTGCAAAGCGAGGCTCTCATGCAGTAATTTCGCGGAAGATCCAGCAGGAGTTCTATGCTGTGATGCTTTATATACGGGTCTACGACGGAATAAATAAGTATGGATTGTTCAAGGGCCAACATACATGTTTTCTTCCATTGCCATTGGTGGTGGTTTTGCTGCATCTGGATGGAGCGAAAACAAGGATGACCCTCCATCCTGACTCACACAGAGACCAGGCAGACGTTTGAGACTTGGTTACGTTCCCTTGTTGGCCGTATAGCCGCCCTTGACATCTATCTTTCTTTCTCGGCGTGATTTACAGGGGGTCAGGTTTTGGAGGCATGGTCTCAACCTTTGGAAGGGCCTTGTGTGGGAATCTCAATGTGAGAAAACGGCCTGACGATGGATCTGATTGTAGCACTCATTCATGATGCGCGGAGTCCAAATTCCTTGGACCTCAACCGAGATCGGGGCTCCGGGGCAACGTTGTTCCGTAGAGGCTGTAACTTACACTTACAGTACTGTGAAATTAAGTTACGGGAGCTCCGTAACTTACCGTCCCGCGACTTGAGCCGCATTCCGTGGCTTGGTCTGTCTTGGCTAGTTATATTACCTAAGCAGAGCCCGCCGGTTAACGTAACTAACGTTATTTAACTAGTTAACTAGTTGACTTAAAGCTCGCTCGCCAAGCCTGGCGGTTCGTTGTCGCTACATTGACATCAGCCGCTAACGGAGCACTCCGTGTACAGATGAAATGATGCTGCCCGTCTGAGAGTCATGGAGAGTTTCGGTGCCCAGGTTGTGCTTTCCAGCGTATTCCGGCTGCCGGGCATGGGTGTGCAAGCCCGGGCCTGCCGTGTTATCGACGGTTTCCCGCTCTCCTATTCTCGCCGCCGGGGTTGAACCTGCCCTCATATTTTGTGTTATGGCCGTTGTCCTGACGGCCGGCTTGAGTCTGGGATCATGCCACTGTTGAGCGTCTGCGGCGCGTGTCGTCCTAATAGAATGCCTACTCCCAGCTGTTAGCCGCTTATCAGACTTTAGATATATTTAGACCGGCCACAGTATATACAAATCTACTCTTTCAATACATACTTTGGGACAGCCAAGCCCTGCGACAATGCTTTCCAGAGGCTCCAGTGCCAACTCCAGGCTCAAAAGAAGCAAGTCTCTTGCTTCAACCAAGGGTAGACGCCGTGACCGTTCCTTTGCTCAACCCGTCGACGATGAGAGAGCTCAAAGACACGCCTTAACTGCGGCGTCACTTGCAATGCAGCGAGCCACGAGGTCATCCTTTGATGACTCAAACGATAGCGAAGCTGGAGCTCATCGCCCTCCTGTCCAACTATCTAGGTCTCAGAGCATCCGCTTCAGCGACGGTACAAATGCCGGCGTGAGAAAGATGGGTTCTATCCACTCCTCCCCGGCGGCAGCACATCTTACGGCCAACGATACTGTACAAGAGAAGGAAGACGGATCACGGGCTCAGACCATTGATAACTTCAAAGAATTTGGCATGCTCGACGACGACATACCCTCCGTGCCTTCGATACCGTCGTCCTACCGAAAGCTTCGCAAATCAAAGTCGATGTTCTCCGCGCGTTTGCGTACTGGCTGGTTAACCAATGGTTCCCGCTCTCCAAGACGAAGTCGCCGTCAATCACAAGACACTAGTAAGCATCACTTTGCTCGCACTCCGCTGCGTCGATCGATGTCATTCTTCAAGGGACGGGACAGTGTGCCCCCGACAAAGAGGCATAGTTCCACGAATAGCCATAGCCCTGCGATAAAACTTGGAGGAGAACAGGTTTTGCGCGATCTTAGCAGAACATCCAAATCTGACACTCTTGGACCGAACATCGCAGGAGAAGGGCGACGCGAACAGAAATCGTTGAGGAGAACGCTTCGAACCAGCACCTCCATGACAAACGATGACGACCCCAGATGTTCGACCCGATATGCGGAGGAACGGTATAGAGATGGTCATCGTAGCATGCGGGCGAGGCTTCTCTCTCAATCGATTAAGAATGGGTTCCGCAAGATCTTTGGGCGGCATGGAGCTCTGCGAGGGAGCGTGTCTCCGCAGCAAACGGACACATACCGGCCCCATGTTCGAGCCTATATCGACCCCGAATTCCAGCCCGATCTAAATCCCAGTCACATGTCGACGCCCACATCCCATTCTAATCACCCAGACGCCAGTGTCTTCAACGTGTATCGTGGATTCTCGGGCCATCGACCTGCGAGCATCCGCTCGATGAAAAGCATAGATAGCGTCTCTACATCAAATTCTCGAGCTACGACTTGGACAAATTCTACAATGACAAACACTATCAACACGACACGACCGGTTGAAACACGTCTATCCATTATCGAAGAACATGGTGATGATCCCAATAAGCCCATTCGTATTCAGCCTCGTTATCACGATGGCTATTCTGCGTTCAGACAGCCTCTTTGTCTCGATCCCATGGCCAATTCCATTGACAGCCAGCGAGTCTATTCCGCTCTAATGCGAAAAATAGACGGATCGAATACGCTCAAGAAGCAGAGTGATACTACAAGCCAATGGCTCGAAGGTGCTGAAGCCGGCCGAGATAACACCCAGCCGCCTTCTAGCTCACAGCGCCCGAGCCAGGGGACAAGGCAAGCTCCTGGCGAAGCGCTCATGCGCTATAGTCAAGTTGTTTCCATCCCCCCGCGAAGCTCCCCAAGTGTTCGCAGCTACATGTCAACGCAGCCTACTTATATTGTAGAATCCCCTGGACGCACCCCTCAACAGATCGCTCAACGCAATGAGAGCATTCTCCAGCATCTTTCACGACGGCCTTTAGGCCGTTTTAATTCTAATGCGTCTCATTCCAGTCCTTATCGACATTCGGCACAATACGCAGGTGATACTATAACTACGCCAACAAGGAGCCGTTATTCTGATGACGATTCGTGTACCGTGGTGGTGCGGAATTCGCCCCCTTCCGATAGCTTCATTGTATCGCCTAGCGTCTATTCAAGAACAACAAATACTCCGGGTGGCCATCAGAATAACATCGATTTTGCCTTTTCTGAACCTGATGAAGACCGAGGTACAGCTACCATCATAGGTAGAGAGACGCTCCCTAGCACACCTCGTGGCCGTGATCGAATATTTAGAGGTAGCGCTGAATGGAAATCTTGGATGAATTCTCAAATGGAACTTATTGATCGACCGAGCCTTTCAAATGAGCTTGACATTAAATTCTCCGCTAGTGATAGAATGCACTACAGAGAAGATGCTGATATTCATGGCGAGATCTCAGAGGACGAACCTAGCTGTGGATTCCGAAAGGTCAGTCGCAATAAAATCTGTGTAAAAGCTCCTCGCTGTGAGGACAGATTCTCCAACAATGAACGGCACGCCTTGACAGAATTGAGTACTATCTCCCAGAACAACTTTTCTCGGCCTTTCCATCGCTCACCGAGTGGGCCAGTATCAATTGGTGCCACAAACGCGAGGAAAACGTCCCTAGTAACACACCAGCATACTCCTCCATGTAGCGCCCCGGTCGTTGTCGATATGAATGTGCCTTCCACTGGCTCCAGTCGATCCAGAAGCAAGTCGAAAACTCCTAATCAGTCTCCATTGATCTATAACAAAACTCGCCAGCCTGAATCACGTAGATCATTGACTGTGTCCCCACTTGATGGCCGGAACCCCCGTACCTCCTTGTCGACTCGAAGCCGACATGACGGGAATGTTCCACCCCCCTTTTACGGAGCTGACGTCAGGAGGCGGATGCCGAGTGTCCAATACAGCTCGACACGTTCAAGGGGAGGTGATGGTTTAATGACCAAGGAAAATAGAGAAGGGAACAGGAATAACCCACCTGATAGGAACGAGTTTGCGGAGGGATTTTCCAAGATCAGGGATCTCCACTCTACCATTAGCAGCAAGCGCATGGTTGATTTATTCTTGAGCGATCGGAGACGACTCATGGGAGGCGCTGATAGCCCCACTGAATCAGCGTTCATTTGAATTCCTCGAGGAGCGACATCATCGCGGGAAACATTTCGATCCCAGCAGATAGGCAGAGCATTATATTCCAATACCTGAACCTGCAACGTTGAATGGCTTGAGACTTTCGAGCACAGTTAAAACATACACGTTAAGATATCCATAAGCTCTAATATTAGTATACTTTAGGAGTATATGTGAGACACTTTAAATATTCTTCTTAGATCTTTATTAAACTTCCTGGGGGAACATGTAGAATTATGGCTTGAGGAGGGAAAAGGGAAATATGTGAGGAATTAGCTCACCCGCTTGCTTGAACTGGGGCACAAACGGTCTCCGCTCTATTCCCGGAGTATTCTGATAACAATTCGTTCGTATCAGAAATGTATTCCATACTCACCGTACGATTTCTCAATTGAATCATGAAATACCTTGTCATATACAATCGAAATGAAATAGATTTTCCACCATTCGGGTTTTTGAGTTTCGGTTTGAGCATTGTGTGTTCATCGCATCGTCATTCCGAGGTGTCCATGTCGCTTCCTGCAAGATAGCTGCGACGGACTCCAGAGTCTCTCGAGTTGGCGTGATTGTCACTGCTCCGTATACAATTCCAGCGTCGAATGACGATTTTGACTAACATTAGCCGCTGCCGATTCAGCTCAGAAGGGTGTGTCGACGACTTTGAGCCGAAGGAAAAAAGGGACTGTTCCGTTGTTTTGTATCTGCAGTAGAGATGAAGGCTGACTCATTCCATGAAAAATAGACATTTATAATTCCGCGTATCGATAGGAGGCTTTAAGGCTCGAGTACCTCAAACGTCTCGAGGCTGTTTTGCCTGTATGACGGGCTTTAAGATTCTCTGTACCAAGGGTCGCCCAGGGCGGATGATTGAACACCCCCTTTTGCCCCTCACGCTGCCAGGACGCATACCATTGGATTTGCTCCGGATGACAACAATGAAGAATCATCGTGATGTAGGAGCTCTGTCAATCAGGGTATATAGATAAATAAGCCGTGGTTTTCTCCCTCGATCATATTTCTTTTCACCATTTTGTCCGAGTCCTTCGTTTCTCTGTGTTATCTCTTATGCCAAACAGGTGCACCCATCCGTTTTATATAAAATCGACGTTCCTTAATTCCTCTTGTTTTGTTAGTACCATAGCTATAACTTTTTGTGTTTGATAACAAAAATACCACAAGGATGGTCATGGAAATTGATCCAGCCATTGTCTGGGGATGGCGGGAGAGCAGAGGTTTCTTTATAAACAGCTGTGTCTTCTTGTGCCTTCTTATCTTGACTTTTGCCCTTCGACGAAGAATCCGGTCCCAAAACATACTCCTCACTTATTCCACCCGGATAAGCCTCCTGGCGATAAACATAATAGCCCTGGCTATCATCTCCGCTCAGTGGGTCAGATACGACAAGGCGTTCCGCCACCTAGACGACAAATACCCGGATATTATCAGGAAGCAAGTTGTGTCGATGCAGTGGATCAACATCATCTTCGTCGTCGTCACTATATTGGGATCTGTATCCTGGATTGGCACCTGTCTCGGTGGACGACGAGGACCGGAGTCGAGTATCCCGAAAAACATGATGGCCCATTTCGCGGCGGCTTATGCATGGCTGCAAACGTTGCCTTCAGCGCAGGCCATGCTGCCTAATGCGTCGTATTCGAATATGCCTGGCGCAGAGCTGTACAAGCCAACGAATTCCGAACTGAATCTCGTTGACCTCGCAAATGCCTGGTGCTACGGCGGCTTGGCTGCGCGGAGTGCTGTGCTCTTTGCTTCTATTATTGTCGCCAATACGATCTCCAGACTCATCGAGAGAGCAAAATTTGACATCGACGAGCATCGGATTCTTCGTCAAGTCCAAGCTACTAGGGCTTATCTTTCGAATATAGAACGTGACTCACCAGAACGTCGTCCGTCACATCCATACGATGTCGAGAGTGAGCTGCAAGTCCTTCCACCCGTGGCTCGATCCTGGTCGTCGATGTCTCGGGATTCAACACTTTGCGATTATAGATAAACGTGCCGGCTTCTCGTGTACGGAGGTAAGATCGATGAATAAAGCAGCCATCGCTGGGGTTTCGATGTCGAAGTGAAAACGTTTCCCCAAGAGAGCGGCTAAGTTTCCCACAATACGATACCGGTTTGAATATCCGCGCCGAATGGACCACTTCTAGAGATAGATGTATCATTTCTCCGCCGTGCAACCTTGTTGCTCTTGTCCTCATCATGTCCGTTTCCACTTTTTGGTTGCTTTCACGAAAAAAGGGGTTTAGTCCGCGCATAAGTCCTGCGAAAGAAAGTTTGTAATCAGTAATTAGCATACTGTCATTTTGCTGGCCTTTTTGGTTGCTCTTTGGTTGAGTGCTTCATATTAATCAACCTCATCTTGCTTCTTGTGTATATATACCAGCAGATTGCAAGGTTTTGAAAGAGAGGGACATGTGGTGGAACATAACTAATATGTCATGTTATATTCTTTTCTTCTTTTCCCTGTGAGTGTATGTGCAAATTTGACAAGAAGAATAAAGAGACTTAGGCACACATTATTACTTAGAAATGAGGGTTGTGCGGAGTCATTTGAAAGGCTGTTTAAACAAACATCAAATGAATCAAGCAAAATAGAACAATAGGGAAGGGAAATAGACTTCAGAGATGAACACCGATGGAATTTGCCTCCCCACGAGCATGTACTGATAAGAAAAGGCTGGATCAGATACACCTGAAGGGAACCGAGCGGAAAGGAGATGGGAGTCCGGGCCACACCAGACCCGATAAATGTGTCGCGCCCATGATACACGGGGAGAGAAAAAAAAAAAAAAGAAAAGGACTGACAATCATTATCCATCCTATATTCTAGTAGGTCAGTATTAAAATGAAAAAGCAAGCATAATTTTCCCATCCCTTTTCCTTTTGTTTTCCCACCAGCCCTTCTCCCCTTTCCCCCAGTTATCGCCTAATTTGAGAAGAGATGAAAAACAACCTTGACCATGCAAAATGAAAGTAGGAACTGTTTGTAGAGACAGCGAGTCCTCCATTACGCACAATAGTTAGCAGGAAAACTGCCCTTGACGCCTCGCAGTTCTCCTTCCCACCAATCGTCAGTGCTCTCGGTCTTTTTGATGACACGAATGCGGTCGCCTTCTCTAAACACGAGGTCGCCAGCACCTTGACCGCCGAAGTCGTATAGTGCGGTCACGAACTGTATCTGGGATGATGCCGATCGTGGCGGGGGAGGAGGGGGAGGGGGCTTTTTCTTTGCGGCGGCTGCAGCCATTGAGGCAATTGCAGCGGTAGGTGCGGATGTTTGCCTTTGTGTGTTTCGTGAGACGGGGGTTGTATAGGCCTGTTGTGGTGGAGTAGTATGGTAGGGAGAGGGATCCAATGATTCGGAGGGGGTTGGGCTTATCCTTGGGGGAGAGTATTGCTTGGCTGTGTTTGCTGCCATTAGATTGCCAGACGGGGCGGTGTTGAAGCCATTTATCCGTGGCCGTGTGTCAGCTGGGATAGATGGCGGTGCATGCATGGCGCGAACCGGGGAGACAGACGGTTTACGAATTGCAGACGTGTTGCTGGTATGGCGTGCACCCAATCCATTCCGCAGTCCGCCATTTCTGAATTCATCGGAAGCCTTGCGTTGGCGACCTAGTTTACCATGAGAAATGCAGGCGATTGATTCCGCCTGTCGCTGGATAGGGAGGAAATCCTGCTCCCACGTTTGAATCACCACGTCCATCGGAGGTGGTGGAGACGGGAAGTTCTGCTCCGAGGAATAGTTGTGTAGCGAAGTGTAATATAGAGCAAGAAGGGTGTTCTGGATCTCGATCTGAGCGGCGAGAATGTGTGGAAGAATGGAGAATGTGGCAGTTATCAAACCAGGCAAATGGTTGCGAAGATGATCATCTGCCGCGTTGTATTCCTGCAAACCAACACTAGTTAATCGAGGGACAATCGGCACGTCCAGTTCGACAAAGCATGCACAGGCACCCACCTCTATGGCTTTGGCCAGGTCAAGTTCAGCTTTAGCAAGGGCCGCATTCTCTCTATCTGACCGCCTCGATTTCTTCCGCGCGGTGTCCACTCTACCTTGATACCGTTCATAATCGAGCTATACGTCCACCAAAGTTAGCCTCGATCATAAACCACCTCTTGAAGCCAATACTCAATTGCCCAAAATAAATCAATAAATAACAATTGCCCAGCGATGAACCTTTTCATGTCCATGCGCGCATTCGGGCATAATTGGGAGCATGGTCCAAAAACATGCGCAGGTAGGGATTTCGGACCTTTTTATCTTCGCGTTTCTTCATGACCTTCTTCATCGGCTGTAGATAATCCTTTGCTTCCATCGCAGGCTTGATCATGCGGTCGTCTACCGACTGTATCTCCGCCAAAAGGTCAACGCGGAGGGACTCGTATTCCTCCTTCAATCGAGACGTCCTTTCCAAGGTGGATTCTGGTGTTATTGCAGGAGGGTGAGCGGTAGGTTCGGACGAGCCGATAATAGGCTGGTAGAGCGTCTCGAATTCCTGGAGCAGTCTCGCCTGGTAGGTGAGGATGGAGGACCAGGCATCGCGCCATGCTTTGCTCGAGTCGATGATCTACTCGCAGCGGGCGAAATAGACTAGTTTAGCCAGGACATTTCGCAGGAAGGTTAACGCCGGATCAAAAAGTTTGCCGTGGCATACCTTGGTCAGCAGTTTATCGGCATTGTCAAAGTCCTTGAGGAGCACGGAGACTTGGCTCTCGTCGGCGGATCTTTTCATCAGCTTGCCGAACTGCCTATGCATGGTCAACATGGCGGGCAACGACGGGTTCAGAGGAGTCTGTCCAGATCCCTCGACTGGAATTGTGCTAGCTGCAAATTGTAAGATCGATAAGTGAACAATAGTCGATTGCGGAAAGGTGGGGAGAAGGCGTGGTTTTCGAGCTCGGAGGAAAGGCGGAGAGGGAGCCGCCTGAAAGTCTGTCAACGGGAGAGCAAGGCAGTTGTGAAGGGAACGACAGGCCAGACGGCTGCAGGAAAAAAAGTATGTGGGACAAAATTGCGAGCAGATGCGTCACCGGGATGGCGATCCCTCCGCAGAGTTGGCTGTTTCACCTCTGCGCAAAGGCGTGGATGGCGGGCCAACCAGCCAACTACGGCCTCAAGCAGCGGGACATCCTCTTTTTCCTTTCCCTTTTCCCTCCCGTGTTAACTACTAATACAGAGAAACAAAACGAACAAACGAGGGTGCTACCAACGAAGAGAAAAGCGGTTTCTGCTGAACAATGAACGAACCATCTCCAGGACCTCCCAGAAGCTTGGATGAAGGCTAAATCGGTTGATTCGCAGCCCAGCACCCGATTGGGCCGCGAGCTTCGCCGTTCTCAGCTTGCGTAATTGCTGCCCACACACAGTCCACCGCCAGTCGCTGCGCCAGACGGCGACGAGAGGGCGTGCAGTATCGCGTGTGACGGCCGGTCCATGGCCCTGCCCCGCTGCTCTCTGAATTGAAACAAGCCCATCTCCAGAGAGATTGATCTTGTATCACTTCCAGGATCGAGCAAGGATATGCGGGAGATAAAATCAGGCGACAAACTCAGCCAGTGAGCTCTGTAGCTGAGGTACCTCCGCCAACGGCGTAACATTGGCACAATGAACCCAAAACGGCTGCAGCACTCGCGAGCTTCTTCTAGCTCGTTAGTTAGTTAGTTACATGATCAATCAATCCCCAATGATGGTCTTTTGGGGATGAGTTCTGCTCCGAGCTACTGTGATTTGGGGCTTGGACATTTAGCTACGGCATCAAGTTATTGGGCCACCATTCTTCCTCTAGACTAGCAAGTAGGTAGATAGCCATGTTTTCCACCATAGCTACCTATCATCTATTCTCGCCTTCATCCCCTTCAAACAAGCTCATCGTCGACGGTGCAATTGAAATCTGCCGCGGGACGGAATGAATGCTGACTAAGCGTGTTTTTCTTGACGCGTCGGATGCACGCGACAGGCATTTCAGCCGGCGACGAGCAACGATCAATGATCAACAGCCGTCCGCACGGGGCTGGGGAGTCGGTTGCTGGAACGTAGGGAGCTGGGCCGAGCTCGACAATGGACTGCACCCCCTCCGCCAGGATGACACGCCCGGTCGCCAGCCAGACCACCGCGGCCGTCATCAGGTTCTCCTGCCTCTTTACATACGACATCAAACGAAAAGCGAAGCGATGGCAGGACGGGTTTCTCCGCTTTCACACGTTTAATCGGCGGGTGATGGTCTACGGCACGTCCGGAGATTTTGTCGGGGACCTACACATGCGGGAGAGCAGTACCGTCCAGGATGGTGACCAGCTGGAACTGGAGCGGGGTGTTCTCGTCGAGGTTGGCGAGTGCTTGGAGAAAACGGAGACCGATCTAACTGAACTGCTGGAGAAGAGGAAGACAAACTCGACTGCATCGCCTGCGAGGACGATGATTCAGCAAACTCCTGCCGCCGCCGCTGCTGCTGGGGTGGTCGCGAACCCTGCTAGACCGAAGTCGTTGAATGAGCTGCTGGGGAAGAATCGCGGCCCACTGGGGAGAGCCGTGCTCCCCACAAAGTCGCCATTTCAGCTGCAGCGTGAGAATGATCAAGACCAGCATGACCATGCCGCGGACCGGCCGACCAAGAGAAGAAAGCCATCCCCGGTGGTTGAGAGACAGCGGGAAGGCGACGCCAGCATTGCCTCGAAAAATCTTGAACGAATCTCCGCGCGTAAAATAAATGACGGGGGAAGTACCGGAATAAACCTCGCATCTACTACGAAGCCAAACCAGAATGACACATCCGGTGGTTTCCAGCCAGCCAGCGCGCTCAAGATCACTTCTTCAAGCCGTGCAGAGCATGGTCGCAAAGGATCCAAGAAAGCCCTGTTGGGCAACCAGAAAGCGATTACCGCCATGTTTCATGGAGATAAGCGCGACATAACCTTTCCATCGCCAGTGGAAAACCCACGCAAGAAGCTCATGTGTTTAGAGATATCGAAGAAACCCAAGACAGGAAAGAAACCAGCCCAGAGGGAATCCACTGGCAGTTCCTGGAACACATCTATTCCGGGAGGTGGAATCGAGCCTTCCTCTGGTAGCTCTGTAACTCCCTTGGGAGGGCTGTCCAGGTCTGAGGGCGAGAAGATGGCGGTCTTGACCCCAACGGGCGGAAACTCTCCTATGGACTACATTCCATCCACCTCTACGATGCGCGTTCTCGAAGAATCTTTTCATGTATCTGAAGCTCCTCCGAGTTCCCAGAAGGCTACGAGGTCGATATCAGATTTCTTCAAACCTAACCCACCGCCACCAGCAATACAAGAAGAAGAAAAGGAAAATACCAGGCCATCACCGAAATCACCATCGCTGTTACGGAGTCATTCAGATATTGAAGCTCTTGCGCAGCCAACTGAATCTACTACCCTTCTATCAAATCCCGCCCCTCCACATAGACACAGAACCGCGGCCAACGGCCTCCAGAAATCCCTATCAGATACCTCTGCGCTAAGATCCAGGTCGAGTCGCCCTAGTCGCAGCTTACAGACTCGGCTGATGACAGTTAGTGGCAGTTGTACGCCTGATAGTTCGAGGAATGACGAAGAGCAAGGGCCATGGACGAGTGAGGCTCTTGATTTATTCGATTGGTGGCCACCCAATCGACCGAAGCCTGGAGAACGACAAGAATTATAGCAACAGCAAGCTATGTTTCAGACCTGAGAAGGCTATATATGCCGTCTCGAATACTGAATCAAGACCACCAAAACATTACGCAATGCAACCCATAATAGCGTGGGTTATTACGATATGGATTATGCAAGGGACCCTGAGCTCAGCTGACGATGTAAATAATGAAGTATACCGACGTCTTAATTGAACAACTTTCAGACTCCAGTTGCTCGAGAAGACAAGTATTCACACCATGAGATAGAGAACGCCAAAAGCTGGGAACCAAAAAAAAAAAAAAAAAAAAAAAAAAAAAAAAAAAAAAGTCCATCCAAAAACACAAACCAAAGCATTCTAGCAGGCCGAATATAAGAAGCCATCAACAAAACATAACAACAAGTGGGGAATCAGCACCGGGTATCTCCTAACCTATCATGAACTAACGCTCCCCCGACACAACATCGTCTCTAGCTCCTCTTCACCAAAATCCCACTGACATAAGGCATTGGCCCCCACGCAAAAGACGTCTTTAGGGTATCACTCGCCCATCCGCCATCTCTTTCAGCGGCTTTCCTCAACATCTTCCCCGTATCCCTATTCATGTGACAGCTTCCCATGAAGAACGGCCAACCGAGTAGCGTGTAAAACAGCTGCGCCAACCGTCCCACAATACTCCCCTGCCTCGTGCACCACGGGTTCACCACGTGTTCCGCAATGAGCAACTTACCGCCGGGTTTCAGCAAGCGGTACAAGCCCTGAATCGTCTCCTCGGGTCTTGGCACCGAACAAAGCACTCGCACACATATAATGGTATCAAAGACGCCGCTGCCCAGCTCCTTGAAGCCCGCCTTGTCCAAGGCTGGGATGAGGGATTGCGGCTCGGCGCCGCAGTGGAGGATCTGGTACTTTGACGATAGGCCGCAGGAGTCGATCTTGGCGAGAAGGTCGGTGTGAAGGCCATCGGTGGGTTCGGCGCCGTAGATGGCTTTGATGCCCGGGCTGGTCAGGAGAGGCATCTGCGTTCCTGTCCCTGGGCCGATGTCGAGGATTACGCCGCTAGCGGTGGAGAGGAGGGCTGGCATCAGAGCGCTGGAGCCGACGGGTTCTGCTGGTATGGAAGATGGGGGGTCCCGAGCTCCTAAAAGTGGGAAGGGAGGGTTTAGTTTTTGAGGATGGGACATTGTAAGATGAATATAATCGAGGGTTGGAGTAAGACAGAAACGGCGGCTGTCGAACACATTTTGCACCTCGCAAGACAGCATGATTGCTGCCGGACTCCCGTCAAATGCAGTTTGCACGAGCTGCAAATGCAAGCAATCTACATACCTGAGAACTTTATCCAGAACCTCGAAAAGCCTTCGGCTCTGATCTGGGACATCCTGAGAATCGGAGCAAGCAGTTCTCCCCGTCTAAACACCGTGTCCAAGAAGACTACCGTAAAATCTAAAACAAAAGCAGAATTGGAAGGACTGTCAATAAAGAAGAATCACGGCGACCTCGAAGATTCCTTCGCAGTGGGATGAATTTACTGACTCCATGCACTGCCGAGCAACAGGGGCGCTGGCTCTGCAAGGTCATTGACCCGTTGGCAGAAGGTGGGTGGCACCATCATGTCGGACATGTTGTCTCGAGGTGCCGTGCTTTGTTTTGTGCCTTGGTTGGAGATGGGAGCCCAGGAAGAAGTGCTGCTGCTCTTGGGTGCACAGGAGACAGTTGAGAGTTACAGCGGCAGTTTGGGGTATGGATGCTCGCTCGAGATGTGCGGCGCGCGAGTCGAGAACCTTGGCTCTCAGATCGGCACGGCAAACCTTGCTGCTCGGCCGCCGGTCGGGATTCGCCCGCCCAAACCAGACGCCGGCGCGCCTTTCCCCGCATATTACATAATAGACTAACTACTTTCTCACGTGATATAAATGCTTGGCAAGTTGGGAATACTGGAAGGCGCGATGTTTTACGGGTAGGAAGTGGAAACAACGGAGTCTCGGAGGAAGAGTAATCCGTCGACCCATTCGAACCCAGGTTTTTAACAGAATCCCAACGCTAACCTTGTTGCTAATGGTGCTGCTTGCAGAGAGACACAATCAAGTTCGTCCCGAGTTCCAGGCTCACTTCGGTTGCCGGGTACGCAGTTGAAGAGACTTAACACGCGGTAACCTATGCATACCCCTAAGCATTTCCAAAAAAAAAAAAAAAAAGGGGTATTCGGAGACGCCAGCTATGCTTTGGACTCTGGTTTTCGCCCATAGACGACCGTCCTAAAAATAGAGAATTCGAGAAGTCAGTGACTGGCTTGTCCAACTCTCATCTCCAGCACAAACAAAAGATTCTCAGGGTACCGGAGAGACCGTACACTTCTTGATAGGCGTGAATCTTCGAGTTGCGAAGCCCACGCCTCACCTCCGCCAGATAAAGTTCTACCTCCTCGCGGGTCCACTAGAGACCGATTAGCGATTTGTATGGACGGTGTAGTTGAAGGGTTCGAAAGAGGGAGCTCGTACCCCCAAAAAGTTGGTCAAGAGCAGCATTGTCCAGCCTTCTATTCCTTCCTGCCACTGCAAACGGTTATACTTTCCCAGCTCCTTGAGGTGAGGATCCTTCGGCCACGGCCCCAGGGGCACCTTGAAACGATTCTCAACGACGTCCACAAAGCCGGCGTCGATCATTCCCTGACGGGATTCGTCCACGATTCGTAGCGTCTTTCCAAACGCATCGCCAGCTTCAAGGGATACTTGGCCCCATTTTTCAAATATTGTCTTCTCGACAGTGCCATCATCGGACTTGAGGTATACCGACTGCTCCAGCTGTTCGATGTAGCCACCCGGTTTGAGGTTTCTGCACGTAGGTTAAAGAAACAGGGAAACAAGTTAGAAACCTCGCTGGCTACCCCAGTGTGCACGCAGGCAGTCATCCGCATACCTGTACGCTTCCTTGTAGAACTTGTCCCAGTCGGCGACGCATCCGTACAGTCCTCGCACGTGGATGAAGTCGAACGGGTTTTTGTAAACCCATTCGTCGCAGCAGTCGTCGATTTCAAACGCCACATTTGGCGGGACAAACCTTGGCTGAATTGGCGACAGATCGGTCCCTATGACTGAAGCGGACGGATGAAGGTCGGCGAATTCGCTGGTATCCAAAGTTGAGTAAATTCCTCAGCCCATAATGACAGAGCTACGCAAACCCGGGGGGGAAAAAAGAAAGAAGGGGGGGGGTTGTGATGTTTGGACTAACATTGCCCATATGCCAGTTCCAGTTCCCACATCAAGGACGCGCTGGTTAAAATTAAGGATGTTTTAGCACAAACCGGCATCATCGCAGCCTCCATAGAAAGCCCGGAATGGGGGCTTACTTGAGGGTTCTCTGGAATAGGAGCTAAATAGAGCTTTCCATGCAGCATAACCGAAAAGACATGATGCCTGCAAAGAGTCAGCATGTCCGGAATAGTGAATCTGTAACAAAAGTAAAGAACGCACCCGATATCTAAGTGGTCTATTGCCTTTTCGTCATTAGGACCCCTACAAGTCGGTTAGAAAGCAGTTCCTCTGGCATTAGGCGGAGCACTGTCAGGAGGCAAAATGCGGTACCTTACCAGTAGGCCCCAGCATGAAACGCATGGTAACGTCTACCATTTTCATAACGGTAATTGGTAATGCTGCTCTTCAGCGATGTGTACTCTCTGGAGGCAAAATGGACACGGGTTAACAACGCGGATCGTCGAGAGATAAGGTGGCAGAGGTAGGGACATGTTTGACACTCACGACCCAGAGTCATCTCCATAAGCGGAGTCGGAGTCTTGGACGGAATCCTTAGTATCGCGGTAAGAGGTAAGCAACGTCCCTCGGTTCTCACCACAAAAAAAAAAAAAAGAGGGTGACCTACCACAGCGATATCCGAGTGATTCCCGTCCATTTCTGTTTCCGAAAACGTGAACTCTTTGGCTCGAGTTCCGAGAGAGGATATACGGCGAGGTGACTGAATATTGATATTTCAATGCATCGCAATGTTTGAGAAAATATTTGGGACCGGGCGTGGAACCTTCCGTGCCACAGCTTGATGGTCTTGTTATGGGGCAATATTGGTTGCTTTTTGTGCTCCGCCAAAACCATCACACATGTTGCCCCCGAACTTAAAACGGCGAGCGGCGTTGCCCCATTGCCAGGAATCCTAAAATGCCGCCACCATCCCTGCTTAGTCCAGAATTCTTGTTGCTGGTCTTTTTCGAAAGAATCCAAACCTTCTCCGCACCCTTCAAAGCCAAAACGGTGCGATCCGGGCAGGGACATTGTTCGCATCCCCGAAGGGCATTCCCTTGCCGCCACAAGCACTTTTGAGCTGGCGAAAACGAGCCAACCATTTCGCCAGGCCCCCGAGTCAAAAAATCTAATATGCGGACCGCCCATGCCGCTTTTGCTCCGGATGCGGTCCCTCTGCATTGGGTGGAGCATGGAGTGATCGCGGCGCCCGCTTCAACCTTCTCTGCCTGCCAATGTTGGGCTTCCCCGGCCAATCCGCCGGTCGTTCGTGGTCTCTCCCCACTGGCGCCTCGCGCTATGGCTTTCCTTTCCCGCCAATACAAACTTAAAACCTTTCTGGCTCAATTTTAAGGAGCTGCAAGGAAATGCTCGCATGAACGGGGTATTAGAGGAGACCCATGCTCCTGACCTTTTAAATCATGTTTCCGGCTGGCCCCAGCTCCAGCTGCTGGGTTTGTGTTCCGGAATATTGGGGAATACCTGAATGATATTCTTCCGACATGAAACCCTTTGTTCTCACGGAGTTCGGTTTCCAAAGCCATTGGATCCTGCTAGCAGCCCTATATCTAGCGGGATGGGCTGTTTACCAAGGGATTAAAACCTTATACTGGCATCCGCTGGCCAAATTCCCGGGCCCTCGAATTGGAGCTCTCACTCGTCTTTACAAAACATATGTGGAATGTGTCGCCCAAGGTTCTTTTGTGCACTTGCTAGAAGAGCATCATGCTCGCTATGGTGAGTCGATACACTGAGCATGATGGTGTATAATAACTGATTCATGTCCGTTTTCTCTAAAGGCGACATCGTGCGTGTCGGGCCAAACGAGGTATAGCTGTCATTTATCATTGTCTCCCTGATCATAGTAAAGAAGCCATGCTGAATACTTCAACCCTCAGCTACACTTCAGTAATCCTGCAACCTATCTCGAAATCTACAACCCATCCAATCGATGGGATAAAGAGGAAAGCCTTTATCATAGCTTTGGAGAGGACCGGTCGTCGTTTGGCTTCTTGACATACAAAGAAGCAAAGGAACGCAAGGATGTTCTGAATCGCATGCTCTCCAGGAAAGCTATCCTTGGCTCACAGGGAATCGTCCAGGAGAAAGTAGGTGCTTCTCCTTTATTCTATAGGAAAAGCTCCTCAAAAGTTTTGGTCTAACTCTTGGAAGGTTGTGGAACTATGTAAATCTTTCGAACGGAAGAAAAACTCAACAGTAAACCTCTTTTACGCTTTCCGATGCATGTCGATTGATGTCATTACCTGTAAGTAGAATTTACTGTTGGCAGCAGCATATCATACTTACTCTGGACTAGATCTCTGCTTTGGCAGCTCAGTTGATGCTATTAATGCACCAGATCATCAGGCACCAATTATCATAGCGATGGATGCGTCATTGCCTGTGTTTGTTCGCTTCAAACATTCTGCGTTCTATAAGTCCATGATCGTGAACTGTCCGCCGGCTATTTCTAAGATTGTGAGCCCGTTAACAGCAGGCTTGGTAGATCTCCAGCAGGTAAATTCCAAACACATCCCAGCGCAAAGCCTCTGGCTAACCCAAATAACTAGCTTTTAAAAGGCCAAATTAAGGAAATGACAGAGGACCCTAGCACATTGGAGAAGCTTCCGCACTCCCGGACAGTTTTTCACGAGCTGTTGCGACCAGAGGCGTACAAGAGCCGGACCGTACCATGTGCAGACAGCCTCTATGAAGAAGCGCAAGCCCTTATGTTTGGCGGCGCAGATACAACCGGCACAACCCTCATGCATGGTACTTTTTACATATTGAAACAACCTGAAGTGTATCGAAGATTGAAAGAAGAGATTCATGCTGTCTGGCCGAACCTGAACACGCTCCCTGATTTGACTGACCTGGAGAAACTGCCTTATCTTGTAAGAAAGCAAGTTGCCCAATTCTGATATACCTGGACTCATTTAGTTTTCCTTTCTAGACTGCTGTTCTCAAAGAGTCATTGCGCATGAGTCCGGGTGTCGCATCTGCGCTTCCAAGGATTGTGCCACCCTCGGGCGCTAAAATATCAGGACAATTCATTCCCGGTGGAGTAAGTGCATATAATAATTCTCTTACTGACGATGTGGCCCTAAGCCATACTAATAAGAGCCTCCTTCAAAGACCGTGGTAGGGATGAGCAGCCACTTTGTGCACCGCAGCGAAACCGTTTTTGAGAAGCCGAACGAGTTTATCCCTGATCGCTGGCTCGGAGAAAAGGGATCGCAACTCGATAAATGGCTCTTTAGCTTCTCTCATGGCCCTAGAAGTTGCCTAGGTCAAAAGTAAGGGAACCCCCCCGATCATTTATTTGTTTCATTTCTAGCTAACTGCGATTCCGTTACTCCAGCCTTGCATGGGCAGAACTATACTTCTGTTTTGCGCACCTTTACCGGAAATTTGACATTGAAATGGATCCGTCAAGGTAAGGGAGCTTTTTCTTAGGAAGGCTCGATTCTTCCTCCCGTGTTCAACGCTAACTTCTTTTCGTTTATAGCCCCCGCGAGCTTCAGTGGCGTGACCGCTTTTTGCCTGAGTATATAGGGCCTCATTTGAAAGCCAAGATCACTCCTGTTGCCAGCTAAAAGTTGTGCCCTTGCTGTTGAGAACATGTTCAATCATACCTATGCCTGCTGTGCAGATGGAAATGGGAGATAGCTCAAGCTTATTTCTGCACAACTTTCTAGTTAATACTTAATCAACTCTGTAGATTTGCCAGACAATATAATTATTCAATGGAACAGGTTCCTCAAAAATGGTACCAAACTAACGTGTAGAATTTCGCATGCTTTAGGAGATCCTGTCATATTTAGCGATCTAATTTTTAAGCACTTAGGCACCGCCAATGCCTCCTGAGTGTCACCTGAATTTCAGGGCTATACATCAGTATCATGTATGATCCTTGTTCTCCGGCGCGCTACGTAAACAGATATGTAGAAGGATTTTCATTATCCACGGCCATTGGCTTCGCACATGCTGGGCACATATCCTTGGATATTCTGGGGGTTTTACCGGCGGTACGGAGTACCAGAGGAGCAAAATACCAATGGGAGAGAGGCCATTACTTAACCAAAATCACACGAATGGCGGTTGAAACGTCTTCTCTTCTTTGATAGGTGGTGTGCACGGAGTCCAAAGTAGCTGGCCGCCGTAAGCACTCTTGTAGGACACGCTGAGCGCAGACGGGCATTTGATGTCTTTGTCGGTCGTCGGGATCTCGGAGTAATTGCTCGGAATTGTAAGCCGATGTCCGAGCGACGTCACAGATTAAGTTAACTAGTTAGATGCCACGTGACCTGGCGTTTCGGCGCGTCGCCCGCATTACCTCATCGCGCGTGGCTTTGGCTAGGCTGCAGTGTCGACGGCAGTCAAGCCAAGCGACAAAACGAGCGGCGCAGGACTTCACCATGAATCGCACTTTTCAATTGCCCAATATCTGAGAATTTGCCTTCAATTTTCAAAGAGGACTCTGGGGTTTGTTTTGGTTTTACTCGGTGACAATGGCCGAATCTGAGTACAATCGAGAGGATGATAGCTTTGAGGAGGAGGAAGAGGTTGATGACAGTGTGAGGGACACCCAAGTTGCCTGGGCTGGATTGCGCCCGTTAACTAGAGCAGGGCTACAAATCTGTCAAAGATGCTGTTTTGTTTGCTATCGAAGTCAGCGAATCCATGTTGACAGCCGCGCCGAACCCTACCTCGAAGAGAGCCCGACCGGAATCTCCAGCCACCGCGGCCCTGAAGTGTGCATATCACTTGATGCAACAACGTATCATATCAAACCCAAAGGATATGATCGGTGTCTTGCTATATGGGACAGAGTCCTCCAAATTCTACGATGATGATGAAGACGGAAGAGGAAGCCTTCCTTATCCTCATTGTTATCTCTTCACAGATCTTGATGTCCCGGCAGCATCCGACGTCAAGGAGTTGCGCGCCTTGGTAGAAGACGAGGATAGAGCCGCTGAAATATTGGTTCCGTCTAAAGAACCCGTATCAATGGCGAACGTGCTGTTCTGCGCTAACCAGATTTTTACGACGAAAGCACCAAATTTCTCGTCCAGACGGTTGTTCATCGTCACAGATAATGATAACCCGCATTCAAAGGATAAAGTATTGAAATCCGCCGCCACAGTGCGTGCAAAAGACTTGTATGATTTGGGAGTGGTTATTGAGCTCTTTTCCATTTCCACTCCGGATCATGATTTCGATACGTCCAAATTTTACGATGTAAGTCTTTGTTGATACTGCTCTCGCCGATTAGCGCTGATAAAGAACTGTCCAGGATATGATATACAAAGCTTCCCCCACAGACCCAGAAGCACCAGATTACTCTTGCACTTCCACAAAAACTAGCGGCGCAGATGGGATATCGATCTTGAACAGTCTTTTGTCTTCGATCCACTCAAAATCTGTCCCTCGACGTGCATTATTTTCCAACTTGCCATTGGAGCTCGGGCCAGAATTTAGAATATCCGTCAGTGGGTTTCTTATATTCAAGCGGCAAGCACCTGCAAGAAGCTGTTACGTGTGGCTCGGAGGAGAACAGCCGCAGATTGTGAAGGGTGTGACCACCCTCGTTGCGGATGATTCTGCCCGGGAAGTAGAGAAATGGGAAATCCGAAAGGCTTACAAATTTGGCGGAGAACATATTGCATTCACGCAAGAAGAGCAGAGTGCTTTAAGAAATTTCGGCGACCCGGTCATTCGCATTATCGGGTTTAAGCCAATGTCGTCGCTTCCGATCTGGGCGTCAACCAAGCAGTCAACATTTATATACCCTTCCGAAGCAGGGTTCGTCGGCTCTACTCGTGTCTTTTCGGCCTTGCAGCAGACACTTCTGAAGCAGAAAAAGTTCGCCCTTGTTTGGTTTGTCGCTCGGAAAAATGCAGCTCCTGTGATGGCAGCGTTGATTCCCGGTGAGGAGAAGCTGGATGATAATGATGCCCAGGTTATTCCTCCAGGCATGTGGATTCAGCCTCTGCCCTTTGCAGATGACATCCGCCAGAACCCTGAGACTCATAATATTGTTGCACCCGAACCTTTGATCGACAAGATGAGGGAAATCATCCAAGTATTACAACTTCCCAAGGGGCGGTATGATCCGCAGAGATACCCAAATCCATGTAAGTCACTTACCACCATTCCCATCCACGGACTCTAACTGTTAGACAGCACTACAATGGCACTACCGCATTCTTCAAGCTCTGGCTCTTGATGAGGACTTACCAGACCAGGCTGAGGATAAAACTATCCCCAAATACAAACAAATTGATAAAGTTTGTGTGACTTTTTCCAATATGTGTTGACAGGCTGAGCATTGGATCTTATGGTATCAATTGAATCCTCGCTAACTCTGCAATAAGCGTGCTGGCGAGCATGTTCTCGAATGGGGCGAAGAACTGGAAACCCAGAAGAGACTACTCGAAAACTCGAAGCCGATTACTTCCACCTTAGCCAAACGGCCGGCACCTAGCAGAAAGGCAGAAGGCGACGAACGAGCCACTAAACGAGTGAAAGCAGAAAGCACAGGAGACGCGGAAGTAAAGATGCACTATGAGAAAGGGAGTTTGAATAAGGTTTGAAATTGATTTTTGTATTTCATTGCCATTTGTGGTGTCGGACATTTGGTTAACTTAATACCATAGCTTACAGTGACGATTCTGAAAGACTTTTTATCAAGCCATAACCTTTCAGGGACTGGCAAAAAGGCTGATCTAATTGATCGGGTTGAGGAGTTTTTTGACAGGAAGTGAATGAATTTATGTCTAGAGGCGGCCAGCTATCCCTCCTTTGGGTATTTGATACCGGTTTTTCGCTTGAGTGCCCGCTTAAACTGTTTAGGCTTCGAATTATGTGTTGATAACCTTTCCTTTGGGCCGCTTTCTTGGTTAAAACGCGTCATCTAATACGAGATGAATTAAGTATGACCGTCCGCTTGCTGCGTTACTGCTCTGAATGGCCGAATTCCCATACATTGGATCAAGTCGGGGCACATCAGGTTCTAGCCTGGGTATTCATGTAGTTAAAGGTGTGGGCGCTGGGCGGTAGGGTGGAAATGACAAACCCGTGGATCGATGGTCTTGCGCTATTGCTTCCGCTTGTTCGCTGGGCTTTCTTCCACGTTGTTCCGTCCATCAGCACCTTGCACACGGCCTCCGCGCATTCATCAACCAAGACAGACGACCGAGTTCATACTTCACGTGACCTTTTTGTTGGCTCAACGAGATAGTTAGCTCTAACAGAGATCGTCGATCAACATTCCGTGCGCCGGCTCGTCGAGGAAGATGTGGTGTGATGTCCGTCGGATGCTCTCAATTCAGCCCGTGGGCCTTCAGTTCCCCTGAGCTTCCAACACCACCGACGGTATCTTGCAAATCATCCCTCGAGAAGAGTCCTATCCAACGCTAGACAGGGGCATTGGCTCCGATAATGTTGGATTGATCAGCTTCTCTGAAAGTAGGAGCAAATCCCGAAAGTCGATCTAGGGTGCTGGAAATGGAGATGCCTGATTTTTTTTGAGTATCAAGTTCTTAGAGATAGGTGATACCAAATTATCTCGTTGGGATATAAATACGGCCGCCATCCAGGCGGGATATGGGAAATGTAGCTTGCTTCCACAGCAAAACTCTGCTACCCCCAGGTCCGGCAATCAATCATGCCTTCGCTACCTTCCCAGGACCGTGAGGAAGATCGCTTCACGCCAGCTGTTGAACCAATGCATGCGAAATCGGCGGAGGAGCGGAATGCGTTCCTGTCCATGTTGAAGAAGGATAGCAAATCACACCGTGAAATCACGAATAGCTATCTGAACTTCTGGCAAGCCGATGGTGGGAAAGCAAGAGACGATACCGAGGATGAGCGAGACGGAAGGATAAGCGAATACATGTCTCTTGTGAGCAGGTAGACCTGCCGCTTCTGTCTATTAAGATCATCGACATGATTTTGGTTGCTAACGGATGTGTGGCAGCTACTACGATCTAGCCACAGATATCTACGAGGAAGCATGGGCACAGTCTTTCCATCTCTGCCGCTTTGCGATTGGCGAACCGCTGCAGCAGGCTCTTGCACGACATGAGCATTACTTAGCTTGTAGGATTAATTTGAGCCCAGATATGCATGTGTTGGATGTGGGTTGTGGAGTTTGACGACCAGCCAGGGAGATGGCAACCTTCACGGGGTGCAATGTTGTGGGCTTGAATAATAATGGATATCAGATCCAGCGCGCAAAAGCGCATGCAGAAAGGGAGCGCCTGAGTCACAAGGTCTCCTTCGTCAAGGGGGATTTCAGGGTATGTTGTCGAGTATACAGATTCACAGATAAACAGATTGACATATTGACAAAATATTTTACAGCACCTGGAATTTCCCGAAAATTCGTTCGACGCCGCGTAGGTGCTAAGGCGGTACAAGGCCGGATTCCAGTCCGTAGCGATCAATCGAGGAATAGTCAAGTACCAAAGACGTCCAGTCTTGGTTTGGACGTTGTCCCAGTCCTCTATGCTAGTAACATTTCCGGCACCGTCGGTCATAATGTTTTGCCAATTGAAATCTGGGAGGCCGACGACGAACGTCGCATCGGCGGATTCTTCAGTTGTAAAGTGTGGCAGGCACGAAATTGCCATATCTAGGATCTTTTGAGCGCCTGCGTTGATACTAGGGTTGCGATAGATCTCTCCATCTGGGCGGGATGCTAAGCAATACTGGAGATACGCTTGCGAGGAGGTAAAGGATCCGAAGTCTTCGACCTTAAGGACCCTCCCATAATCCTTTGTTCCAAAGGTCCCGTAATCCCAGCGATAACAAGGCCCCCTTATCAGAGCATTGCCCGTAGGGAATAGGGAACCAACGTGGCTGAATTCGAGCCCTTGAAGCTGTGACATTGCCCCTGCAAGGCTCTCCAAGATCTTAACTCGCCACTCTTCCAAAGCGTCGAGTCCCGATGGTTCAAACCATGTTAAATCCGCAGGGCAGCCATGTACAAAGCTCAAGGCCATGAATGGGGCGTCGGGAGTGTTGCAGCTGTTATAGAAGGCGAATATCCCGGGAATAAGGATGCTCGTTACGGCTCGGATATATATTGCATGGCGTGAGCCAGAGCTATAAATGCACGCCTCGGCAAGGCTGCCTCCCCGGCCCGTTGCTGGGACGCGAATCACATACTTTTCTCCATCATCGAACTCGACAACGTAAACAAGATTGTTAGAGCCACGAAGGAAGTCAATGACGCGGCAAAAGGGGTTGAAGCTTTTTTTACACACCCATTGAATCCTCATGGCCACTTCTAAGAAAGCAACCTCTGGGATGCTCGGGAGGGGGGCCAAAGCGGATCCCCAGGGTGTCAGATCATGTAGATCCAGCATTTTGCTGAACAGGCATTGCTAGTGTGTTCATAAAGAGGCAAAAGAAGTGAATGATCTGGTGATGTGAAGGTGATTATTGGGCAACCAGTGAAGGAGAAAGTGAGAATAACAAATGTTTGCGGAGATGTGCAGCTCATGGAGATTCTGTTTTTAGGGGGGGAAAGGAGGAGCCGTAGTCAGGTGGTATGGCTATCGCCACGGCGATGGATCAAGAAGGATGGCATGCGAGCAAATTCTCTTGGTTTGTAATTCCTATCTCTATCTGACTCGAGAGAAGCTGATGAGCTTTACTTCGGGGAAGAACACTGGAAGATATTAGACAGGTATATTGAAGCCACTCCCAGGTGATTTGGGATCACCAGATAGAGCTGGTAAACCGTGTAGAGAGGACAGCAAGACAGGTAAACATGCCTTACTTGAGCCTCTTTGATTGTTTTTATACCAGTGGGAAACTGAAAGGGTTCATGGTACCTTCAACCAGCTAATGGGTATAGGGAGGAGTTATGGAGAAGTTATACTGTGGTGACAGCAGTCTTATACACTGGGGCCTAGGGGTTTGTCCCTCCATACTTTGAAGACTTTAGCTGGCATGTTCACTTCACACTTCCCAGTCTGTTTGGGGTTGTTGTGCGCAGTTGTTGATGTAAATCTGGCGGTATTCACCCTTCACTCTCCTCTTCACCCACTTCTTCTCCGGCTTCAATGGCCATTTCCCGCTTTCTCTGCGCTCGCTCCCGTTTCTTTTCGAGGAGTTTGGTTAACTTCTTGGCAACATTGAAGACACCTCCCGTTCCTGAACCACAGGCTGCACAGGAGGGATTCTTCCGATACCGTTGCAAAGCACATGACTCGCAGAAGTAATGGCCGCATTTTGTTGTCACAGGGTTCTTGTAGGGCTGCTTGCAGATGATGCAGGCAAAAGGAATGGACTCCAGCATCTCATCTTCGTCGTCGCTCCCATCCTCGTCGAGCTTCTTATCTCTGTTTGCAGAAGCCACCGTGCGACCGACAATTTTCTTGCCTTTTGTTTGGCTGTCCCAGTCACGGTCGAGCTCCCAGCCTTGTTTGTAGTCTTCTCGGGCATGAAGGAACTTGCAGGTGTCGCCAAACCCACAGAATCCTGTCTGCTTGTAGTCCTTGCACACATCGGGAGCGAAGTCGGTAAAGGTGACCGTGCGGATATTGGTTGGTGCTTTTATCGGGCCGAACTGCTTTGAGGGAGCGTCGGGATTTTTCTGAATGAATGATTGGTACTTTGAGGATCCTCGATAGACTCCGTCGTGTCCTCCTTCAGGGGCACCTGGGCGGCTTCGCGTCTTCCCGAGGAGGTGCTTCGCGCTGAGCTCATCGTTGCCAGCCTCTTCATCGTACCAATTTGAGTGTTTAGTGGCGTCGTTTCCGGCAGGGAGCGGACGAGCTGCAGACGGTTCGTCAGACTCTTGTCGATTCGCCGGGGCAGATGTGGAAGACGCTGTTATGACGGCATTCTTGCGCCGGCGCTTGACGGCGCGGCCCTCATTGTCGTCTTCGAAGGAGCTCAGATCAGAATCCGAATCGGCAGCGGGTGGTGGCGACGGAGCTTTCTTGCGCACACTAGACTTGGCCTTTGCGGAGCGCTTTTTAAATGCAATGGGGGCTATGGGTTGTTCCGAGGAGGCTTCGTCCATCTTTGCGGTCGCTGAGGACAAGCCGGGTCTGGTGCTGCGAACGGCGACGGATTCGCTCGCGATGGTGCTGTTTTTGGTTTCGAGAGTTATTATCAGATGAGATATGGCTTAGTCATCTACGCATGAAACAAAATTTTAGCGCGGTACGGTAATTACCAACAGGTTGGGGGGAAAATCAGGATTCAGGATGCACAGCACGCTCAAAAGAGCATGCGAGTATGCAGTAAAGAAAAACAGAGGGACATCTCAATCATAGCTGTTGGAGTGTCAGGGTAAGGGCCATGCATCCATCTTCTGTAACTACAACTCTGCGATTTGGGATGGAGAACTGCTGCTGTAGTTATGCAGTCAGACCACTGTAACGATGACCATCCTGATACGCTTCCAGAATAAGGCTAAAACGAGCAATTTCCGGCTTTTCGCTGGCTTAGTTAAGGTTTGCTCTCCTTTCTCTCACTCGCCTCGCAGTCTGTCTCTCTCTCTCTCTCTCTCTGTCTCTTCCCCATCCCCGCCCCAGCTGCCACTGTCGACGTGTTGTGTGTTCTCCGTGCAATACAATTCGTTGCTTTTTTGGCATGCAGTGACAGTGTGGGAGATCAGTCATTCATTTATCTGTTTTTTCTTTTTTTCCCATTATTTTCCTTGTTTCTTTTTTGTTATTGATGCTTTGCACCTGGAAGTCCACAAATTGTGTGTTGGCAACCTACATCATCCTCGCGGCAGCCACCCAATAACGCGTCGTGAATCTGGACAACTCAGACATTCAATCAACCAGCCTGTCGCCTTACTGTCAGTAGTACTCCCTACTGCCTACCAACTCAACAGGGGGCTATGTATGGAATGCTGTGGCGATAAACTGGTGAGAAGGACCCTCGAGTTAAGCTCAACTCTTCCAGGTTAGCGTTCGCCTCGTTCCAGGGTTTCTCGCCGACGGTTACCGCAAGAAGTCGCTGGGCTACAAACAATGATATTATCCGCATAGCTCGCTTCCCGGCCATTGAAGATCTCATCGCAAATCATGGCCGATTCTCTTCCTATGTATGCTGCTGGGGCCGTTGGTGACAATGGGGTGGACTTGGACGACCCGTTTGTCTCCAGTACGCCGGCTGGAAACCATACGCAACGCGAACCGCACCGTTATTCCTCCTTTGACGCGCAGCTTTTCACCCTCAACACGTCCTCGCCTGCGCAAGCGAAACGTGCTCTCGAGGCGCATTTGGCTGAAACAGAACGCAGATTAGAGGAAACGTCAAATCTTGGCACCGCCCTCATAGAACAGCAGAGAGAGCTCATGGACAAGTTAAAGGAGGTCGAACAACAACATACAGACGGTGAGATCGGACCCGATTTACGGCGGAAACTCAATGATCTGGAGAGGGAGTACAACGAGATTGGTCGTGAGACCGCTCGAGTTGCGCTCGGTCCAAAAGTCCGGCTAACGGGCCAGGAAGATGGCCTGGCCACCCCGTCGTTGGATTCTCGTGTAAGCTCTTCAATACTAAGGCCTGCTGATCGCAATGTCTAACCCCCTTTGACAGCATCATGCAAGTCCATCCGTGTTCTCCAGTCAAGCTACCAATTCACCCTCCAAGGTTACCGTGCCTTCTCGAAAGCAGCGCAACCAGCCCTCGAGCCGCGTACATGACATCGAATTCGCAACCGAAATCAGTACTTCTCTGCTCGCTCAAGTCCGTCAACTGCAGGCGCTGCTTGCAGAAAGAGAAGAAGCGATCAAAGCCCTCACACTTGAAAAGTCTCACCTTGAACTTGAAGCCGAAGGCTTTACACAACGACTTCGGGCACTGGATGAGAGCGAACAGCGGTACAAGGATGAAAACTGGAGCTTAGAAACCCAAACACATGATCTCCTCGCTGCCGCCAAAGAAGCTTCTGACCGTGAAAGCCGTTTGACAAGTAATCTGAATGCGCTCACGGTGGAAAAAAACAACATCCAACGGGAACTGGACGAGCTGAAACAAGCCAATGGCAGACTTGTTGAGGAGAATATGGCTACCCAGAAGGCTCTCGATTCCGAACTTCATATTCTCAGACGGAACATAACTCTTGGGGAATCTGAGCGCAATGCTCTTCAGCAAAAGGTTGATGAGTTAGCAGGGCAAAACCAGGAACTAGCTAAAGCCGTCGCCGCAAAACTACGTCAACACGAAGCGGACTCAGCGAAAGACCCCAACTCGGAGGATAACAGGAAGGCATCGGATGACCTAACCCCCGAGAACTCTCCACCTCCTTCGCCAAACAAACCAACGCCCCGTCATGGTCTTTTGGAGTCCGAGACCTTGAAAAGCTCTCTGCATCATGCCCACCGTATGATTCAAACCTTAAAGGGCACGATTCATAGAGAGAAGACCGAAAAAATAGAGCTGAAGCGCATGTTGCAAGACGCCAGGGACGAGCTGGAACAGCGCCGCGCAGAGCCAGTCCGCCCAATTAGCTCACATAATAGGCGCCAAAAACCCAAAGGGGACAACTTCAAGAAGCCGGCACGCCCTGAGATGCTTGGAGCTGGAAGAAAAGGTATCACACAGATCGAAGTTGCGGAGCCAGAATGGGAAGACGAAGGTGAACCAAGTCCAACTCGTGTCGCTCGACCAAATAAACGGGCTGTTTCATATGGCAACTCCGGAATTGAATCTAGCACAACCAGCGATGCCTATCAGACAGCCAATGAAACTGAGGCCTTCGAGACCGCTAACGAGCGTGAGGTCACTACTGAGAGCGAAGCTTTCCAAACCGGCACTGAGAATTTCATCGATGAAAGCAGCGATGACCTCACGGAGACTGAATCCCGCACTATGCATACGGGTACCATTCGGCCTCGACGATCCGGGCAACTCAATTCTACCAGGCCCATGTCTTTTGCCAGCACTGCCTCGACGTCTGGAGATGAGGACGAATATATTGAAGTGCGAACTCCTGTTCAACACCAGCCACCACGCTATCGGATTAAAATGAGTCGTGGAAGACGAGGGCGTGTGTCACAGGAGTCACATATACGGCAAGGAAGCGCCCCGCTAAGTCCTCGTGATTCTCCGGCAAGTTTAAACAGCCCCCCACAGAGCCCCCGACAAAGGGAAATCTCTGGGGGCCAAAGCCTCTTTGCCGAACTCAGTGGTTTAGCTGGAGCTGGAAGTGACAGCGAGTTTGGGGCGCCTCTCCGTTCAAGCACCATGTCTGAGACGTCTACTCCAAGCCGCCGTCAAAGTTTCGCGACGCTTGCGGATTCAAGCCGACCGGTAACAGCAAGGGAAATAGTCATGGTTGATTCTTGTACTATGACTGAACCCCTTCCGCCAGCAGTCCCTGCACAATTCGAAATTGTTTCCCCCCCCGAAACTACCTCCGATTATAAGGACGCAGAGACGTCGACAGCGCCGCGCGAAGTAGTAGACGCGTTCACCACCTTTGAAAGAATCGTCATTGACTCTGCCACCCAGTGTATGCCCATGGAAACTCCCCTCCTGGCTAAAAGCGAGCCTGCTGTTACCATTGATATCGCGCCAGAAATACCGGACACAGATGCCAATTATGACTCTCTTCATGCTACCATCGAGACACCGCCCTCTCCGGTTATGCTCCCAATGGAACCGACCATCCTAGACATTTCCCCAATTTACTCCGAGCAGACTGCCCCGATCTCGCCAATGCCAATTGATCTTCAATCTCGGCGACCCTCTGTGCGCATGGATATGTCGGTCATTGCTTTTGAGGATAGTCGCCCTTCTCTTCCTGCTGTTACACCATCAAAATCTTCGTTGGATCTGTCTATGTCATCAATTCAATCCACATCCACGAACCCCCTTGCAGCGGTTCCCGTCTCCCTACCCGAATCAAAACGTGCCCAGGTCCTTGAGTTCTCAACTATCTTTGAGGTTGGAACCTCCCCGAAGGAGGCGATTTTCCCTACTGTGCCTCCTATGGCTCTAGAAGTGTCCAATATTCAATGCGTGGAATCCCTGCCCGTGAAACCTGTACCCACGATCCTAAGTGTAGAGCCGCCCACGGATACCTTGAAATTGAACGGTATAGGAGCTCAGCCCTGCCCGCCTCAAGTGACCGATCGCGCCACTCAGTCTCAGATTTCGACTATGGATAGAGGAATCAGTACTTCGCCTTTACCTAAAATTGAGACAGAAAGCCAGGGTAGTCAGACTGCCCTGACTGAGGTACTGGAAACGGGTGAACGATCTTCTCAAGTTCAAATCAGCACTGCGGAAATATCCTCTCAGACCATCTTGACCGGCTTCCAGATTGATAAGCTTCTCATGGAACGTCAAGCCAGTCGCCCAGTGACTGCCATCGAAAGTAGCCAAGCACAAGCTGCTATAATAAGCACGCAAAGCTCTCCCTTGACTACGCCGAAAGCGAAACAGCTATCCTCTGCCCAGACAGGCTTGCTCCGCCCGAACAATGCGACTAGACGACCTGATAGTTCTGGCAGTCAACGCCTGGGCAACAGCCTTTCCGTTCCACCCCTTCCCGTTGATCATAAACAGACCATCGCTGCAGCATCGCAGAGACTATCTTCAGAGGCGTCTCCAAGCGTGATGGGACCGCCCATTGCTCCAGCTTCATCGTACCGCAGTTCCAGCCAAATCAGACCGCGTACGCCAAGCGAGCAGCCCAGCCGTAATTCAGCCCGAAATCAAAGCACTCCACAGACGAAGTTTCGCCGTACGAGTACCAGCATGGCGTCTCGCCGGTCCTCCATATCGTCTTTTGCCTCGGAGCTGGATGAAAGGTTTAATATCGCGAAAGCGACATATCCTTTTGAATCCGGTGCCGATCCTCGCATGATTCAAGCCATTACGCAGACAATGATTGGGGAATTTTTGTGGAAGTACACCCGCAAGCTTGGTAGATCGGATATGTCGAACACTAGGCATCAACGATACTTCTGGGTTAACCCGTACACTCGGACATTATACTGGGGTCCCCACGATCCTCAAGTGCTTGCAAAGTCCCAGCAAAGGTCCAAGAGCGTTGCCATTGAAGCTGTTCGTGTTGTCAATGACGATAACCCCTATCCACCCGGCCTTCATCGGAAGAGTTTGGAGATCATTACGCCTGGTCGAACACTCAAGTTTACGGCGGCAACAAGCCAACGCCATGAGACATGGTTCAATGCTCTCTCATATTTGCTCCTTCGAACTACCGATGATGAAACTGAGGAGCAGGATGTGGTGTGGGAAGCTGGTAGTGATTACAACGCAACAAATGGACGGAACTCCCGGCAAGCGGAATCGAGAAGATCAATCTCTTCCCATAATAGTCGGGCTGCTCGTACAATTTCCAAACAGTTTGTTGAGACGGTTCCCACGCTTCGTCGGCCAGTGACTCCGAACCAGCCATCGCCGTCTCCGTCTAGTCGCCCGGGTTCATCCTTGCGACCCGACCAGACAAGACCTGGCTCTGTGACCCGGATCAGCAATGTGTTCAGGTCTTCAGGGATTAAATCGACGTTCTCAAGTCGTAGGAGCAGATACGGCAATGCTGGTGGAAGCATTGACAGTACGAGTGCTGCTAGCAATGACAGTGCTGAGGAGCTGAGGCGTGTGATTGAGAGACAAGACCGGGAGGCTGATCGGCTGGAGAATGTGCGGGCTTGCTGTGATGGTGAGTTGCTCAAGTTTATGTTCAATTGTGGCCAAGCCCATCCCAGCATACTAATTATTTCCCAGGGAAACATGATGTTAGCGCCCTCTCGAGGACAAGCCGATACAGCGCCAGAATCAGCCCCCTATCCCACCATGTTCACAGCTGAGTTCTTCAACTGCTGCATTGTCGTCTGTTCCCGATCATTTACTCGAAAGCTTCGACAACGTATTTTATAGAAAAGCATATTGGCAAGCCGTATGTTGTGGACGAATTTCCTTGCGTTTTTTTGACTTGAATGTTTTCTTTCCCTATTTCGGTGCTCTTTTAATGATTACTCGGTGCATTACATAAACCCAATATTCCTTGTCAGGTCTAATATTTCTGTTCGTCTTTTGGTTTTGCTTTGGAGGATGAGCCACCAATTTGTCGTTGAAGTTCTCCGCTCCATCCGCAATCATAAATCGTGAATCCTGCTTCACTTCTGAGATTTTGTTGTTGCAGAGCAACTGGTCATGTCGCTTCTTCCTTTAATATGTTTTGACTGTTTTTCTTGTGGTTGGCGCAATTATAATGTCGATTCAGCGTCCTCCGACTTTCACTCTCTTGCCTGCTTACGCCGTCGTAATCCCTTTCCTTTCTACGGTGCTCATCCATAATTCGGACTACCTTTTTTTTTTTTTTTTTTTTTTTTTTTTCTGCCTTTCCTTTTCCTTTTCCTTCTCTTTTTTCTGAAGTATCTCCTTATAGTGTGAAAACAGCCTTTCTCTTCCCCTTAGGGCAACATGTATGCTCCAACTTCCTCGACCTTTCGTGTTAAAAGGCCGTACATGCGCGAATATGAATGAAACTAGTTCTCCAGCGGGCTGATTGGCCGTTTAGCAACTTGCTTCGCTAGTATAGAGTTGGTGCTGTATGACGGAGCTGACTTCAAGGGTGTGAGGCGGCAGCAGATTTACCACGATTTCACAATTTGAATGCCCAGCTACCTAGTCAAGAAGGATCTATTTTCACCGACCAGCATTTCAACAATTCTAGCGTCTACACCCCGCCATGGTAAGTGAAGCCAGGTGGTTTCAAAATGCTATCATAAGCGTAAATATAGCAAGTATATAACCGTCGATGCAATATATGCATGAAAGTTATACCAAAGCCAGGGATGAATATCTCATAATAACATCCTCCTCTGAGGATCTCAGAGGTTCAGGCACAGTGCTATGAGGGGACATGAATGCATCAGAGTGTCCCCCGAGGGCATGTGAGGGAACCGGAAGCAATCAGGACCCAAAAAAAAAAGGAACTGGCTCAATTGATGAGTTTCAGTACATTTCCAGCCGGCGACTACGCTGGTCTTCGAGTCTACGGCAAAAGATATATAAATGTCCTTTTATCTGTCCATGGACATGTATCCATTTGTCTTCCCAGAGCTCATCATCACAAAATAGTGAAGACACCCTCTGCACTTGCAAATATCTAGCTATCTTGTCCTACATGCTGTTCTCAAGATATTCGGAAAGATGAGCGAATTTTCCACCGCGCCATCCTCGACGGCCTCAGTGAAACTCAAGTCAGATTTTACACCCGCACCAAAAGGGATAGGAGAGAGAAAAAGCTCTCGCAATCAAGAAGGCGCAGGCTTGACTGCTCATAGTAAATAAAAATACACACTAAGCGTACCGCACCCAGCTTGTCTTCTTACATCCCTATGTATGCATGGACAGTCAATAGATTCACCGCGATGTCAGCATCCAGCTCCTCAAGGCATTGATCCACTCCCATCCACGTAGCCACTTGATACCACCAACTATTCCGTCCAAATCTCATCGCTGTAGTAAACTCCCAATATTCAGGGTGCCAGCCTGCTGACTCCCAGTCAAGAAAACCGGACAAATCCCGGTTGTGATGGACAAGGGTGTTGTGCTTTGGAACCCCCATGAGTGAAGGTGACTTGATGTGGAAGTTGCTCAATTTGCTTTGCGCGCATGAATGTTTTGTCGTATTCAGCTCTCGACTTGAAACTATAAGTGAAAGCTGGAACCAGAAGATACTGTGTTAACTCCCTTTCGCTCGTAAACAGACCCATGATGTGGTTAGCCACTCGAGTGCTCCGGATGGGTGTTCCAAGCACAGAACAGATATGATTCTGGTCAAAAGGTATTTGCCATAGGTGTATTGAATCCAGGCACAACTTCAGCTTGTCTTCATTGTTGTGTTCAAAGAGATCACTGGAGTACTCAAGGAATATCCCAGGCAGCCTTGTCATCAGAATCAAAAACACCTGATTGTATGAATCTCCGACATGTTCTCCACAGCTCAGGAGCTTGGGAACATGTATTCCGGCAGCACGCGCCATTTGCACTGTGACTACTTCCTCAAGACTTGTTTGATCAGTCCCCTTCATAATGAGCCCAAAGTGCAATTCCGCAACGTTACTGAATGGGAGATCAAACCAAGAGCAATATTGTTTAGAGAAATAGAACAGAACTTTATGAACAATGGCCCATAATCAGCACGCAGTTCTGCTTGGTACAGCAGGTATCAGAGGAGTAGTTTCAGAGATGGTGGATGGCATCGGTCGTCGCGGCCATGTGTAGTCAGGCTTCAAGATGCGTGGCGTCCACGCTACGCTCCCATTTCTGAGGCAATATACAACCACAAGGGTACCTTTTCAAAGTAAACCTGGAGATTTCAGAGTTCTGAAGAAAGAGAGATGCCACTGATGCACCCTTTCCTTATGTTTCTGAAGGACATGCTCGTTCGGCCGCTCACAAGTGATAGAGCAGACTGATTTCTTGCATTGGAGGCCCAGCACTGCTATGTAATTATATGTAAACATTGAGATGAATTGAATTTAATTTCTGCACTGTTATTGGTCATAGCCAGTATGACCCACCCAAAATTCCAAAAACTTTAGTCCTCATTAGCTAGAAATTAAGCTTATAGTAGACTTTTATTGGTGGCGCCCCAAAAAAAAAAAAAAAAAAAGGCGTTACAAACGTCATACTCAAAACAATGCCACAAAAAGAAAAGGTTCAGCACGGATAAGTCAGTTGAAGCAAGAGCACAAGAGTTAATAAGCTACAAACATTAATGCTCCGCAAAGATAGGTGTCACAAAGAGACAGAGAAATGGAGAACTTTAAATCATCAGTTGGTCCGACGCCCAGTGCCAATATCCCCCGTTCCCATGCATTGTTTAGGTCCCCAGCATTTTGAACGGCAAGCCCACTTCCTCTCAAAAGGTGCTGTGGTCGAATCAGATTAAGTTCTATTCACATCAGTTAGTCTCCTGTAAAACGTAGGTGCTGGTTAAGGACTGTTCACCTCTTGATTTCGCGTGAATTAAGCTCAACTGGTGGATGCTGGACAAGCTCGGGCTGTGAGCTGTAACCTGTCATAGCAGGAGGCAGAGGCGGAGGCACTGGGTGTTCAGCGAACCTCAGTTGTTCTGGGGGAATATTACATCTGCGTCGCTGTCTCCGCTCATACAATGCCCATGCGATGGACACCAAGGCAATAACTCCGAGCGGAACGCCAACTCCTGCACCGATGGCGATGTTCGTGGAATTGCTGGAGGATGATCCATCAGATGGACCGTTGCCTCCAGGTGTAGAAGAAGCTGATGGGCTGTTCGTCGCAGTAGGTGCTGAGCTGGTTTCGGTCGGCGCGGTCGCACGCACAACGCCAGAAAGGGCAGCATAGCCGATTACCACTTCCCCATCATCGAGGGTGAAAGGCTCTGCATCGTTGACACAAGTTGTCTCAGATCCTCTCACGACACTACCAAGGCAGCAGTATCTCGGCTCTCGCCCACTCGAAATGGGGACAATTACGGCGCCTCCGCTGGGGTTATCGTCGGGCCCTTGACAGACAGGCGGGCATCTGACAGAGTCCCAGTTGCGATCGGTACAGCTTCCCCGCGATATGACAAACGGTTGATCGCCGACTTGCATGCAAAGACCATTGCTCAGGCAAACATGGTTATGTCGACAGCAGGCGGTGAATTCGTCCGATGAGCAAGGCACATCTCGGTTCGACTCGCCGCCGTCGGGAAAGTAGCACGTCGCCGTAAATGCCACTGCTGCAAGGAACGATTGAAGGTAGAGCGGCAACCAACGCTGCGATAGCCGCGCCATCGTTGACGGCTTAGCGTATGTCTATCTGGGCGATGTCGACAGAAACGAACGGACGACAGAACAGAGGTGGATGGCCTGGCAGGGCTTTCACGAAGTTCGACTTGCAGGTCCAGGGGTGAATTGACGGGTTCACACTGCTAACTGAGCCACCCGAACGGGACACCCGGGGGCGATCAGCGGAGAAGTGCACCCATACCCCAGGTCCCATGGATCGTCAGCTCACTGGCCTATGGATGGTCGTTTTGGTACTGCCGTCGTTACAGACCTTGCAGGGATAGAACTTTGTGAAGTTGGGTTGTTTTCACAGCAAAAGCCTGGAATCAGTCGACTTTGACAGGGCATCCTAGAAAGCTTGTCGGTGATATGGCCAACTACGGAGTCAATCAGGGGACAAATGCCAATAAGAAAAGCAGAAACGCTCTCTTTTTTCTCTTAAGCGAAGAAAAGAGGATGTGCATACTCGCTCATGCAGCGTTCAACTAGGAGTATCCACCAGGACATCGAGGGTGGCCCGTTATTGGCGACGACCGCCGATCTTGATGGACACTCTCGGGTCCTGGGACGACTAGTTGGCAGCGGAATCTAGTGCGTATCTGAGGGATGGCTAAGGATCAAATCCATAGTCCAGTGAGCAGTATTCCGTACGGCCACTCGAGGTGAGCAGGTACCAGCTTTGGGTTTTTCGTCTTTGCCGCACCCCACCGTTTTCAGTAACTATGCAAAACACTCATCTTGTGGAAAAGAAGCATTCGGGAACAAATTCCCGAGTGTCAACTTGCTAACAAAGTCATGATCCGAGGCTTAACACCGATTCCTTCAACACCAGTTGGCGTCTTTAATCCTCGTGCTGGCTTGGCTGCCAGAACGTGGCCCGCGCGCGCGGCATCACGGCAACCGGTAGAACTCAAGGATCATTAATAGTCCCTCCAGCAACACCTGCAGATGCCAACAAGTGGCGGCTAGTGAGATGCGAGCATAACACACGCGAAATTAATTGCTGCAGCTGCTCAGTTACCCTGCTTCAGAAGTTCAATCACGGAGATTGAGCCCAAAACGTACATCGGCCCAACTGCCTCTTCTTTCTTCCACCAGAGTTGCATCGCTTGGTCTGATGGGCTGTATATTCAAACAGAGGTCCAAAAGCATTGTTGTTCCTCAAGACATTAAGCTTATTGTTTAATTGAATAGTGTTTCGGTTTTCACAATTCCCATGTTATTCTTTCTTTTGAATCTAAAGTCTTGATCCTATTTTTCTGTTTTGTTGTTGATGAAAAAGAGACACTAAGCATTTTAACGTGCGACTCCAACTTGTTTCTGCAGCTCATATTTTGTACTTACACCTTGATTTTACGCTCCTGCGGGGCCATGGCTCTGCAAGTTTCTATTTCTTACCTTTCCCTAGAAGTAGATTCATCCAAACCAAAGCCCGCATCGCAGACAACCATCAATATATCCAGAAGCACAATGCCACCCTAGCGATTAATTACAAAACTACAGATTGGTTAAATATGAAAACTTTCCGCAGAGCACCCAGAGCGGCGAAATGCTGCAGCCACCAAGCCGTGATTGATGCAGCTGAACCCAATACGGATCAAGGGCCGGACAACGAGAATCCATATTCCAGGTCTGAAATTAGCTAAATCCCCAGTTGATTCGATGCAGCTTCAATGATATTATAGCGGTGGAGCTCATCCACACACATGTCGGCAGACTTTGGCTTTAAGTTGAGAGTCACATCTTGCGAGTGAGAGGAGTGGAAAATCTCCAAAATGAGGAAGTCAATGAGTGTTGAATATGCCGCTCAGCGGCAATATATTCCTTCTTCCCTAGAAGCAGCCGCGGAAACATGTCTAGTAATACAGATGCTCACTTGATTAACAAGAAAGAAAGTGGTTGACAAGTGTCCTCAAATGCTACACCAAAACTATGAATCTTCTGCAGGATTTGGATGAGTCACTCAGCGTTCAGTCATTTGTTGAATTGAAGGCTGTGTTGGTCAAACGGAACAGGGACGGAGGACCTTTGTGGTTCAACTGCGACTACAGAGTAGCTACTTACTCTACAGTCATTGTGCGGCGCCACATTCATTCCTGCTAGCAAACCAGAACTTGATGTTTTGAATATAGAATAATTGCTGTGACAATCAGCGGCCTAGGATCAAGCACTCAAGAAATGCAAGTCAAGACAGATGCCTCGAGACAAATATCAAACGGACCTTATCCAACGTGCTCTCAGACTGTTGCCTGTGGAGAGAACAAATATCACCAATCTCTATCATGAAGCAGATTCTACAACTGAACACCAGTAGGAAATGTATGGCCATCGAAACTCTCATCAATGATCAGAAGGGTCGAGGCCCTCCTTGCGCTAATTTGGTCTGTATTTCGGACTTTCGTGCAGAATTAAACCCGATCAAAGGGGAAAAAATCAATAATTCCAATGATGCTTAGCAATCGTCCATCCGAACAACAAAAGCTTCGTGTCCTCATCATAGTCTTGCCTGTTGGCCCAAGTGTTGAGAAAGATTGATCAAACAGCCACCCACCCACATGCGTTCTATATTTGTAAAAGCCAACGTATGTATGAGAATTGATATGGCTGGGGTATTATACATCCCTCTAAGCATAATGCATATACTTCAGTCAATTAAGGTAGATGTGACAAGGTTATGTGGAAATTTAGTTGTAGGAGGGATATATGCAAAAGAAAGCCGGGCGCTATGGTATCGAAATATGATCAAGATCCTGACGATATATACAAGGTAAATAGTAACCACAGAGGACAATGTCTTAGCCGGGGAGGAATTCGGTCGTACTTATGCGTGGGGCGAAACGTATCTGTTCCAGCCTCTTTTCAGTCAAAGACGGCAGGTCGAGCGTAAGCGACGGATAATATTTTGTGAGAAAAGGTAGGGTATAACCGTAATTATGTGCGCGGACAAAGTTAGATCACATTGGTAACATCTTCGAGATCTTCCGGCTCTGCTTCATTGCTTCCAGGGAGCGATTCTGGTACGTATACTATGATATAAAGTCAGCGGTGCCATAGCAGATTGACACAAAAAAATAAAAAATAAAAGAAACTGACCATGGGGCTTTATGAACCAAGAGGCTAAGAATGCAATGAAAATCAACCCCGCCAAACATATAAAGACGGTTTGGGGAACGGTCGCAACCGTCATGCTGTATATCAAATTGAATATCGTAGGGGCAACCACTCGAGCAAGCGCATGCAGGAGACCAATGGCTCCGAGAAGCTGCCCGGTCCGATCCGCAGGGACATGTTTGGTGAGAGACGATTGCAAAGTTGGTGATGCCATCGCGCCCATTGCTGCCGTTGCTCCTGACAGCATTAGTAGCGGACCAGAGCGAACGATACAATACCCCACATAGCCCAGCATATCGAATAGCACGGAAATCCGTATCACGACAATATCCAACATATCCGAGCCGGTGGCATGACTTCTTTTTGAAGCAGGTCCCCGAACGAATCGAGTCGCGGTGGGAAGGACGACCAGCAAAAGGAGTACCCGCACAGAGCTGGTGAGCGAGACAAGCATGCTGGACTCAAAGTTGCCCCAGCCAAACATATATTCTGCGTAGATAATCAAAACACTCATAGTTCCCATGGCCACTCCGAATATCGAAGTGTCAATAGCGGAAAGGATGATCAGATTCCTCCGTAATTTGCGTAGATTCTTCTTCTCCGGTAACAATGCAGGTGATTTCGTTTCCGGCGGAAAGAGGATAGATAGCGGCTTCAAAAGTCCCAATGGATTGAAGTCCTTCCATGACGGGCGGATTCCATTGGCGCCGAGGAGCTGAATTTTCCGCTTTCGCCGATTGTATTCCTGATTCTCCTTAGGAACCGACTCGGGAACGATGAAGGTGATACAAAATAGGAAGAGCGCCTGGCACCCTAGAACGGAATAGAATACTACGAGGACGTTGTTCGTAAGTCTGATGAGATAGCCAGCGATCAGCGGACCCAGCGCAATTCCGCTGAACAAAACTCCATGAAAATAGCCAAAGGCAACGTTTCGTCTCTCTGGCGGTATACAATCGGCTGCATAGGACTGCGTCAGGGCGACAGCCGTTGTAAAGGATCCAAATAGACCATCAAAGGTGGCGCCAAGTAAAAGGAAGTTCAAAGAGAAAGTATCGGGGCGCGCAGCCACGAGAACCGTTATCACTTCGCCGAGAAATGCGCCTAACGTCGCCAATGCAATGACTTTCGTTCTCCCATAACCATCAGAGAGAACGCCTAGCTTTGGGCTTGCGATAGCGGCGAGCCCTCCAGCGATCAGATTCAGCATAAGCTGAAATCTCGACACCAGTGCCTGGACCTCGGGAATGCGACATTGAATGTTGTCTTCGCCAAATATGACAGGCAGATACGTGAACGAGGGATCCTTGAGGGCACGACCAGCAAGATAATCTCGACAAATTAGGGTCAAGATTAAGTTGATTTTCGGCACAGCTACACCGCCGAAGGCGACTGTAAATGGGAGGAAAGGCGGAATGATCCAAAAAATCTATACATACAATGGAAGTTGTCAGCGTAGAAACTCGTTTTAAGAGAAAGCAGTAAAGCTAACTCACGGACGGCCGTTTCCACCAGGGTAAACCTTTAAATCCCGTCGCTGGTGAGTAGTATTCATTCGGCTCGTCATCTTTGATCGATCCACCCGAGGTATCCGACTCCCTGGACGAGAGCAACGCGGTGCGTTCGTCCGCAGTTGCTGTTCCCATTTTTTGGGTATTTGGGCCATCAGATGCACTTTGTAAGATGCTACTGAGCAGTCCGGACGCACTCCTATGCCCTCGTGGGGACGCATGGGGAGATCTAGCTCCCATTTGTGCAGGAGAAGCTTTCTGCTGAACCGGGATTTACGGGGGGGTGTTTGCTACCAAAGTTCATCGAGAGCATCGACTAAAAACGAAAAACTTCGAGTCACAGAATAATGGGAATAACACCAGGGCAATGACTTGGAACCCGCTTCCAAGCCATTATTAATGCTGTCGGAGATTCACGTCCAAAAACTTGGACATTTCGTGGGAGCGAGTTAGCCGGGATGCTTCGCTTTTGTCGGCGTTGGGTAATTTTTGATTTCAGCAAATCCGTTTGGCGGCAATTCGAGGCCGTCCCACAATGTTGGGCTTTTGACACTCCCCTGAGGCTTGACAGCTCATCAATACTCCGTACTCATGGCCAGAATTGGGCTTTTTTATTTTTGCTACAAACCAGGCGCAGGCCCTGACCACACATGGCTTACCACGAGGCTGCGGCATTCCGTGCTTCGCCCTGACATGCATAACTAGCAGGGCTGACCGTATCACCAAGGGGTCGTCAACCAATGAGGGACGTAGTTGGCGAAATTGAAGCCTGGAATTTCTATTTATTCCCCCTGTCGCAGTCAGGTACTGAATGGCGGCTGACTGCCCCTGTCTGAAAACGAGTGCATGCTTTCCAAGATTCATATATTAATACCCAAAAGAAGTCATCAAACTCCTAATACCGAATGATCATACATAGGACCCACCAATTATTGTACAAGATTCCCATACTGAGAGCCAGCGAAGAATTTCTTTTGGTACAGACATCTATCACTGGTACATCCCTGACATCTCAAAGTCATTTGTCGCGAACAATTGTCACCACTTCGTAGATGCTCGGCAGCAAGGTCCGCAAGACCCTGTATGAATACCGGATGACCGTTCAAGCTTTCAACCCGCTTCACACCAGGGCTTGCTGCATCTTTTATTACCTCTCTGTCAAGCTCGAATAAAGTTTCAATGTGGTCGCTGGTGAAAGCGATGGGAACAAGCAAGAGATCAGTTTGTCCGCGGCTGACATAGTTCTCGACTGTGTGGCTGGTTTGGGCTCCGAGCCAGGCGGACGGACCGACTTGAGATTGCCAACAGAGTCGGTATGGATTCGAGAAATTCAGCCGTTGCATCACCGCATATACTGTGGCCGCGACTTCGGAGGGGTAGGGATCGCCTTGAGGGTGCATGTGTTAGTAGATATCACTCCAAAGCGGATCAGATTTGACGTGGCAATACCTCGGTTGACGACGCTCATAGGCAGACTGTGAGCTGAAAAGAGTAGCACAACACTGTTTCTCCGATCCTCAGGATACGTCTTCAACTGTGCTTCTATATTCTGAGCGAACGCCTCCACCAATCCATGATGCGTTGGCCATCGGTCAATCACGCTCCATTGTATGGCGCCCGTCGGCTCTGTTCCTCCATTCGAGCGTTTCCCTTCTAGCCGATTCCTCCATTTCCACAATTCATTAAGCGAACTTCCTGTCGTAGAGCATGAATATTGCGGATATTGCGTGAACGCCACTGCCCTTCCCCCATTTCCTCTTCCAAATCCATCATCAAGGAGCTTAGCGTACATTTCTTCTGTTAAGGGAGCGGCATATCGGAAGGCGACGTATGGCTTGTGAGGTGCGGTCTCTGGCGATATCTTGTCTAATATTTTACACATCTCTTCACATTGATATTCTGACCATTTGCGGATCGGTGAGCCTCCGCCAATTTCCGCGTATTGCTTCTCAATTTTCGGGGTTCTCCGGCGAGAAATTAGGGGCCCGAGGTAGGATTGGAGTCGACCGAGAGGAATCAAGTCACCATCTGCCTGTATGATCCAAGTAAGCATGAAGCCGAACGTCAGAAGTGAAGAGGCGACGTACGAATAATCTGCTTAAGTAGTCGCCAACATCGTTCGTTGTCGAGGGTCCGCCCATGTTTAGAAACACCATTGCCGTCGGACCCTTGGCCCCGGTTGAATCCTCTGTGACTGGCGGCACCACTGTAGCCATTCCGCATCCTCGCGATGGTCTCCACGTTCGCCCCAGCTCCCGCCGGCACAACCTGGTCATGGATCTCTGCAAAGCCATGCTGACTTGCAGTCTTTCGTTTCCGGGAACTTATGGTAATTTCATCCAGCTGGCCAGTAGCACAGGTCTGAGAAAAGCAGTATTGATTCGCAGAGGTGGCAGACAATGCCTTCGCCGGGAGCGGATTTCCATGCGCCGTGTTCCTGAGATAAATATATGTCCTGGAGCCCCGGATGGATAACCAGCGAGCGGGCTTGGCAACGATGGGCCATGACTAATTCGAGTCCACCCAATGGTCAAGCTGCGTTACAAGGTTACGGAGCATTTTTGTATGGTAACTTTCTTACCGGTTTTGTTGAGACAGTTGTAAATAATTACACAAAAATTACCATCGGAATAACTATTCACCGCAACGCCCCGTTGCAATCTCCGACCGCGCCGAAAGTCGCATCACAAATTTACGTAATCCGCAACGCCGAAAAGAAAATCACCACAGGCTGACGACCTGAACGACTGGGTTCAATCTCATCGAATTGAATCAGCGGTGCCCCCCGATTGCCCCTCTATACAGAGCACCACGGAGTGCCTGTTATATCTTGTTGATGTCTCCGCAATTATGCGCGCTTGAACGATCCTCCGCCGCCAATTCACGACGATGATCCCGAAACCAACCACCGGTGCTGCGCTCCCCTCGCGAGGCGCTCTCCATGTACTCCGACGGCTAGCATTAGCCGGTTCAACGGTGGGGGCGATTGGAAGTGCCTGTACGGTCGCTACTATCAGCTACGAGGTCAATCGCCGAGTTCAGTTAGCGGAAAACCTCGTCGAGAATAAGCGCAGCCTTAAGACAACATGTCCGAACTACGATTCAACGGCGAGGGGGGCAATGGTCGCCAAAATGATGGAAGCAGCCGAAGCCGGAGAGTTTGTAGGCATGGATTCGTTTCGGCAGAAAGGAGTCAGTGAAGTTAACCGGGACCAGTCGGATAAGAGGACATTGGGCGAGCTGAACATGAGAAATTCATCTGAGTTGAATGACCCTGAGAGCAAAGGAACCAGACGTCGAAGGGGAGAGGAAGCGTTGGCTTGGATGCAATCTTTACACGAGCCTTGGAATACTCGACTTTACGGTCCCCGTCCTACCACTCGCAGGTCAAACAGCAACGTAGACGACGCGAGTTTCACCAACTTATTGGCGGAGCTGCAATCGAAGAATGCAGCCCAGAATCGACCTGAGCACGGTGCAGAAGATATCCCCGCTTCTCTACCTCTATATAACCTACGATATCACGACAACGCAGCCGACAACGCCATTCTTGCCGAAAAACTGCTGCTACAAGGCAAGCCGGTTGAAGCGGCGCAACGATTCTTACGTGCATACCCGACAGCATCTCCTAACTTGCCTGAGGAAGCAAAACAGCTCTGTGTTCGACTCTTCAATGGAAATCTTGATGCAGAGAATGTACATCTGGCGCATCGCCTCTTCCGCTGGATGGATCCTGCCCACGTGATATCTCAAGAGGCCTGGGAGTCCCTTATTGCGGCTCTAGCGAAGAAATGGAATCTAGAATCGATAGCAACTCTTTATACGGACCATGCTGACCAGTTTGAACTCTCGAAACCACTCCGATATTCGGTCTTACGGTCACTTACAGATTCTTTCCGATTAGAGGAGGCTAGGACGATGATTTTCAGGTTTTTAAAGGACGATTCCGAATGTACCCTATGTGCCGTCTATCTTGGCAAATTATGGAAGAAAACGCGCAACGCTGAACTCGTGGAGGCGCAGTTTAAGGCGATATTTTCATCATTCGAAGAAAACAACATGCAAGTGTCGAAAATATTGTTCAACGCTCTCCTGGAGGCGTATGTTGAGTCCGGAAAAGACGAACATGCCGATGAGTTGGTTGAAAATATGAAATCAAAATACAACTTCTCTCTTCCGGCCAGAACTCTGGGGCTGTTGGCATATGGGCGTGCCTTAAAGAGCGACTGGGATGGAGTGGAGAGTTATTTTGAAGAAATCCACAAACTTGACGGACACCCTGACGGAAAATGGTTCGCGAAGATTTTTGACCGAGTATTTCTGGAATATTTTTTGGGAAATTCTGCATCCAACATTCGGGACTTTGTCTTGCGTGCCATTGAAAAGTACGACCTCGTCCCAGATAAAGTTTTGTTTGAGCACATTGTCCAAGCGTACATCCAGAAAGGAAGTCCAAAAATGGTCCTTGAACTTATCGATGTCGCAGAAAGTCGGTCCTGGCCAGTCATGATGAAACGGGACCGCTTCATTGATCTGCTTCGAATTCAACGGCAAAATTGTGGTAAAGCCAATGTCGGACTGTGGCAGATGTTCCGTAGGTTTGGACGCTTCTCCACCTCGCAACGCATCCTCGGCTATAACAAAGACTATTTTCCTACTGGAAAATCCTTCGATTCTCTTGGAAAGACTGCGCCAACTGTGTGGTCGCGAAAACTCAACTCGAAACTTCCGTCGAGGGACTTTAATCATTTTCCTGCTCTATATCAACAAATGATTCATTGTATGCACGTTGGTTCGATGGACAAAGCCATTGAACTCTACAATGAGGCAAAAATGCTGGGTAAAGTCATGGGCGAACTCGATATTGACCTAGCTTTGACCGCGACAATTGTTCATCACGGATCCCTCGAGCAGGCGAAATCCATATTAGCCGAGGAGAAAGATTCCTTCCCCTGGATCGACAAATCTTCGATGCCCCCTTTTTTCCAAAAGCTATTGACCGCCGGTAGCACGTCGGAGGCTGAAGCATTGACGATGGCCATTTTGAATTTCTATAGAATTCTCGAACGCCAGATCCTCCCAATCAAGCATCATGTGACTGTCTCGACATGTAGCAACTTGATTCGACGTAGGAGGACCAAAAATGCCCTGCGGCTTATCCGAGCTGTTAACCGATCCAAGTTTGGAGGGACATCGCCGTTCGACTCGGTCGCGGTGCTGATGATTGCGAAAGCATCTTCTATTATAGGGAACCTCGCGGGAATTCGCTGGGCTATTCTCACAGCGCTGAAACGTGATTCGGCGCTGAGCAAAGACCTTGTGGCTGAGATACATCAGACTATTGAACGCTTTAAAAGCCGCTCGCCAGTTGCTTCGCTTTCGGGCGACTACGGTCAAGAAGTTAAGTATCTTGAAGACCTAGCGGAAATTCTTAACCAAAAGGAGCTCTATATTGCCGCACGCAATTCACGTCGAGCTCCTCCACCGCCGGGTCCAGATCCTTATACTCCAGATCCTAACCAATCCCAAAGCGCTGGTTTTGTCATCCCAGAAATTACTGACCCAAATGGGCACCTCTTGTCGGACACGCTTGGAACCTGGTTAGAGAGAGTGCAACTAGAACATGCACTCACAGCTAATAACCTCACTTTTTCGAAATAACGATTATAATTATCTCATCTTTTTTTTGATACTCCCGCCAGATTTTGGATGGAGGTACTGATGCATCTGACTCTATGCGAGGTGATGAGAAATTTTCTTTTTTTTTTTTTTAATTCATATGCTCTGTTGAAGGATCAAGCAAACTATGGGCTATTATTTACGCAAGTGCTTTGAAGAACCAAAAGAAGTTTTATCTGTGGCTGCTTTTACATCTTTTCACCTTAGACTTCTCCCCCTTTTGAGATCGGCGGTGCCAGTGTGGAACGGGCAAATCCTAGGAAAAGGACTTGGAGTTATCTTATCTTCATCTCATTGATTTATATGCCCCAGGCTACACTACTGTACAGTATGTATATAACCATCTTCTGTTTATGTCTTTGTTTTCCAAAGATTTGTTGGTCAAAATAGTGAATGAGCAAAGATCACAGGATCCACACAGTCAGTAACCCTATGTATTAGATTACATTGTCGCAAATTCTGAGCTTTGATAGTCTCATATACGTGCATAAAGTTCAATCTCATCATCCCTTGCAGTCCAACAGACTTCTTCCGGTGTACTAAAATACTTTATACCGTCACAGGTACTGTTCCTACCCAACAATCCAAAACCTCAACCACTTGACTCGAGGCCTCCTTTTAAAACACACAATCCGTTAGAAGTACTCCTTTGACCCGTCTAAGGCTTCAATAATATCTGACAGGATAACGTGACTTAAAACTGTTCTTGATGTACCTCCGAAGACTCCCTAGGCTGTATTTCCCCTTCAGATGCATGTCACATCCGCGGACGGTCTCCGCGTGTTGATACAGGCTGGACAGCTTCGGGAACGTTTTATCACAGTGGGGACAGCAAAAGGGACGCGGTTCGTACCAGGGTGTAGTGTAACACGGATGTGCCCAGGACGTAAAAGCAAGGCGGTTAACATGACCCTCGTCCACGCCTGCGAGGCAGTGGGTGCCTGCCTCCATGTGGATGAGCATTGCGGAGAAGAATGCAAATTTACGCTTCTTGCAGGCATAGCAGGCCAGTTGTTTCGCCCGATGCGTTTGTTTGTGCTAGTAAGACTGTGAGCAAAATCAAAACCCTATCTATAAAACAAGATTCCCTTACCATTCGGAGGTTATTGGGAGTTTCAAAATAGCGATAGCAATGCAAGCACCAATTATGCGATATTATTTTATGTTGGACCAGGCGGTGCGAAGAATGGAAACACCAGGTACAATAGTCACACAGGTGGTGGAATTCCTCTTTATGTTCCCTGAGATCAGATTCGGTGGCCAGATACTCATTGCAGAGGTGACATTTGTAACGTTGGATGCTCTTATGCTTGTCAAGATCATCACTAGTTGCAAAGAATTCAGCGCACCATCTGCATGACCAGTGTTCAAGCACTAGGTGCTGGTTGAGCGCATGTTTGTTTTCACAGCGCTTTAAGCAGAATTCACACTCAAAATGCTCCTCATGACAGGGTTGCCTGAGACCATCCACTGTTTTGAACTGGTCGCAGCATATGTTAGAACGGGCTTTCTGAAGTTTCAACAATCCACAACGAAAGCCATAGTACGCATCACAATCATATCTCCGGATGTGCTCCTGGGATATCGAACTGTCTATAAAAGTAATAGTGTGGGAGTCACATTTAGTTTCAGGGTCCCCAAAGAGATAGTAGTAGGAATGTTTACCCATTTTCAGAGAAAGAGACAGGAAGTAACAATCACGATAGCAAAGCTGGCTGGGTAGGAGGGCACCCAGATGAGAATGAGTGGAGAGGGTGGGGAAAAAATATCTCTCTGTTAAAATAACAATGCAATTGCCATGTTACAACAATTTGAACGCACACAGAGCACAACAAAGGCTTTAAGAAACTGAGCACATTCCTTTCAACAAAATATGAAAAGGGAGCATATCCAGTTCACTGCCGGAAATTGACTCAATGCTTGGGCCAGAGTTTTCCTAAACTCTGGGAGAAGTCACAGGGTGTGTTCTAGGCCGGGTTGATCAGCTGGTGAGCTACCTTAGAGCTAACTATGCAGTGTTGAACAAGCAAAGTGAAAGAATCTTCGGCTGCATTTGAAAGGTGGCTGGACATCACTGAATATAGGTGCCGGTCCGCAATACATCGAAAGCTCAGTTAAGATTTGGTTCGTGCAACCTGCTCACTTTGTTTCAGGTTTACTTTGGGCCAAGCCTGCATTGTCCTTTCAATGTGTCTGTACTCCGTATAATCTGGAACAAAATATTGTCAAACTTAGGATCAGATGGCAAGTTAACAAAACTGCGCTGCTGCTACTTCACCTCTCTGACCACCATTCTGAATGGACCCGGCCAAGATTTATCGAATATTCACTGTATAATTGTATCATTGCCGATTTGTCATGGAGCTTTCGCAACCACAGTTTTTCTTTTTAGCGCTCTATCAAGCATGGGAAGACCAGAATGCTTCTTCAACCTCCCTTTGGTATCTTGGTCAAGCTGTAGAAAAAGAAGCAAGACTGGTCAAAGTGTCTTAAATAAAAAAAAGTATAAAAAAGTATAAAAAATTAAATACTCGGATGGCGAAGAAGCCATCATCGCGCGCTGTCAGTGATGCCGTGGCTGATTTGCGGCTCAAGCGCTAGGAGCCGACCCTGTAAAATACTCGTAAAACACCGCCACAGTGCGTTACTAGCGGTAAACCGATGACACGGGACTTTCACATGTTCGCTGGTCATGCCACCTGCTTCCAGACTGCGCCAAGACATTTTTGAGAAATCAGACCATCTCGAGCTTCCAACCACCGGCCGCCTGTCCTCCTCTAGAACCCATTTAATCTCGGAGAATATGCAGTGACTGACCTTGTCGCTCTGCTCCTCAGCTTCTCCATTGCCGCCCGTCTACTCTACTACCAATGGCCTCGCAACCCCTGAAAAATGGCCTGACAAACGGCTCCGCGCACCCCAAGAAGCAGTACCGCGATGCCGCCGAAGAACGACGATGCGAACAGCACGAAGCGGATATAGTGATCATTGGCGCCGGAATCGCGGGCTGTTCTCTCGCTGTCGCGCTCGGAAACCAAGGGAGAAGTGTCCTCCTGCTTGAGAAATCGCTCAAGGAACCCGATCGCATCGTCGGCGAACTCCTCCAGCCGGGTGGCGTCCTCGCCCTGGAAAAACTTGGATTGAGGCATTGCCTGGAGGATATTGATGCTGTCAAGGTGCTGGGATATAACGTGATTTATCATGGAGTGCCGGTGCGGATCGATTTCCCGATGGATTCGAACGAGAAGCTGTTTGAGGGGAGAAGTTTCCATCACGGCAGATTTATCATGAAGCTACGTGAAGCAGCGATGTCCACTCCGAATGTCACCGTGGTGGAGACCAAGGCTGTTTCGTTGGTCAAATCGACTCATGGAGAGGGTGTGCTGGGCGTTGAATGCCTAACGAACGGGAAGAAGGATTTCTTTTTCGCTCCCCTGACTGTGGTTGCGGACGGATACAATTCGGCTTTTAGGAAAGAGTTCCTCCCGCACGCTCCTCGAGTAAAGTCAAAGTTCTGGGGACTTGAGCTTATCGATGCCGACCTCCCCATGCCTTGCTATGGCCATGTCGTCCTGAGTGACAGCCCACCCATCCTCCTATACCAGATCGGAACCCACGAGACACGGGCTTTGGTGGACATACCAGAAAATCTGCCATCAGCATCTGTGAAGAATGGTGGAGTTAAAGGTCACTTGCGAAACACCGTTCTACCGTCATTACCCAAGAGCATTCAGCCGTCCTTTGCCGCAGCGATTGATCGAGGCGGTCTCAGATCCATGCCCAACTCTTTTCTTCCTCCTGCAACCAACAAGACACCAGGCCTTATGTTCTTGGGAGACTCGCTCAATATGCGTCACCCATTGACTGGCGGTGGCATGACAGTTGCGTTCAACGACATAGTCGCCCTGCGAGTGCTACTCAGCCCGGAGACTGTTCCCAACTTTTCCGATACGAACCTAGTTCTGAAGCAATTGTCGAAATTCCACTGGAAGCGAAAGGACTCGTCTTCTGCAATAAACATTCTAGCTCAATCATTATACGCCCTCTTCGCTGCTGGTAGTACGTTGATGTTCCCCTTCTCCATAACATCTGCTTGAAACCATAAATCTCGTACAAAGCTAACACCGCATCCCTTAGACTCTGACCTGAAAGTCCTTCAACGCGGCTGCTTCCGCTACTTTCAGCTGGGCATCCTCGATGGCCCCATTGGTCTATTGTCAGGACTGGTTCACCGGCCCCTTGTTCTCTTCCGCCACTTCTACTCCGTCGCGTTTCTCTCTATATGGCTCCTGCTGCGCAGCGCACCGCCATACATGCTTCCCTTAACGATTTTTCAATGCATTTCGGTATTCATTACGGCGTGCAGAGTGATTCTCCCATTCATTTTTGCGGAGTTAAAGAATTAAGACGTATACACTGGGTATGATTTACGTGGGGAACCTGTTACCGGAGTTTCGTAAACCCCCCTCCCCAATATCTCCGTTCTTGTGTTTCGACTTTCAGCGTCTATCTCCTTTATTAATATGTCTTCTATATGTTGTTCTTTATTCTTTGTTCTCTTTTCTTTTTTTCTCCTTTTTTCTTTTTTTTTTTTTTAAGGGGAGGAAGGAGTATTTACATCCACTCTGGGTATTCTTTATTTTTTGACACGTTGACCCGATTAAACACTTATCTAATGACCCAATGCTTCGAATTTTCTGCCACATGTGTTATATTATGCTTTTAGTCGCATCTGTACCCCTCCTGAACGTACCGAATAGCATCAGGGTTGCTGTTGTAATAGCTACTGATCTTTTTATTTTCTCATCATCCTATTTTTCATATTTCTATACTAGTATAGATTTTTTGAACTAGAATCTAATTCATTAGACATGACGTCCCAGTTGCATCGTCGTCTGTATTCATACCTATTTACATACAAGATAAATATCCCTTATCCCCAAATATTCTTTTTTCGCCCACTGTGATGTGATCATTTCAGATACACATGGAAATATCTAATACGAGATCAGGCCCATTGTTGAAAAAACAAATAAAAGAAAAAATGGGCAAGTCAAGAGAGACGGGGCAACGCAACGATCAATAGACGGCTTCCATGATTAACCAGAGTAGAACAAAGCTAAGGAAAGAGAAAATTCTTAATGCCCAGCCGGTATTTTGTATTCAAATCATGGAGCAAAGGACAAAAAAAAACCCCCACAACTATGCCACAAAGTCCCTCCGGACACAAATTTTACCCTCAAAAAAGCTGAAGGAAGAACCTGTAAAACGAGAGCCATCCGGGGACGAGTAAGCAAGCAACTAAGCAAGACAACAGAGTAACTTAGCGCTCCCGCCCCCGTGCCCCCAGTTTAAATAAAGTCCCGCTCGTGATAAACCACCAAACAAGGCTGCAGGTGTAGCAAGAAAAGCCAAAAAGAGAAACGCCACCTGATGTAAATCTTTATACTTGCACATTTTGAGAATGAAAAATTTAAACAAGAAGCAAACACTCATGGGGGAATAGAAGGCCATGCAATTCTTTATACCATCAATCAGAATGAACCCCAAGCCAAACATAACAAAAAGGCAGTAAAAAAAGACATTTAAAAAGGCACAGACTGGGGTACGGGTGGGTATTCAACATAATATGAAAATTTTCCACATACAACGCAGGACCCAAAGCAAGAACAACAAGGCACTCATGAAACAGAAACAGTAACTGGCACACAACATCATCAAGACATCCATCGGTCTGGATTTCAGAGGACCATGGAAAAAGGCAAAGACTGAGGCAGGCGTGAACACATTCCCAACGTAATAAACATCATCGGATAAGGCAGAAGTTAGGATGTCGAGATTGGAGCTCTCTCGAGACTGTGTAACGGAGTCAAAATCCCCAAGCTTTTCAAACATCAAATATAGGAACTTCTCCACCTAAAAAGCAGCTTGAATGACGTAAAGCGTCGGGTGGGCTCAAGAGTGGCTCTCCACCTTGCTCTAGCAGCCCGTAGCGTGCATGGAAGGACACATGGTCCGTCACCTAGAAGCCCTGAGAACTTGGGGAATTAAATGCCATCTTTTGACAACTCCTGTACCGAATACCTTATCATTTTGAACTGTCAAAACAGGATTCACTTCCACGATTCAGTAGATCACCTATCCGGCTTTGTATGGATTGCATGGCGCATATTGAAGTTGCATACGGCGTACTTGGCGTGTAACTTCGGCATCATTGTGGCCTCCCTCGCAATACTACGCTTTTGCGGATACCCTCGTCTTTCAGCCCCCCTTTCTCTCAGATTCATCGATAGGAATGGGTTCCGGCCGAGCCGTGCCGTCGTTTTGTTCCGCTGAAAGCTTTGGTCCTTTCTTGTTTCTCCGTTTTGTGGTTTGCCAGCCATTTGAACTCGAATGATGACCGTTGGCATTTGAATGCAAGTGGTGGCCACCATTGGATTTTCGGTAGTGATCGCCTTGTTTCTCTTTATGGTCACTGACGGGGAAAGGATTGGAATTTTCGTAGCGACCCTTGGCCTTGGGCTTATGAGGCATGCCGTTGACCTTCTCGAAGTCGAAGCCGTTTACACAATGTTTCGTGGTGGGCGACATCATACGCGAATCTTTGGCTGGCGATTGAGCCGAATTGAATAGCTGCGGGTGATTGTCCTCGGGGGATCCCTTAGTATGGAGACAATTAAGCTGATCGTCGATTGGATAAAGGTATTGTGTGCTACGATAATGGTTTGCATCAGTGTTTCTGGAAGTATCCAGCGAAAAATTCGGATCAGACAACTGAAACCTCTGCAGCCGTTCGGACAGGGTTTCGACTCTGCCCATATGACCAGTGGCAGTGACATCAGTGTGGTTTAAACCTGGCTCCCAGCCACTCATATGGCCAGCGCCCTGAGAACCATGGTGAGTCTCAAAACTGCTGCCAAATAAGTCGTCGTAGGATTCTTGCTCATGGAGGCCCTGAGAAAGCGTGTCTGGGGTTGTTCGGGGCGTATCGTACATTCTATCAGCTGATGACGAGGTGCTGAAGTCCGTCATGAACTGTTCACTTGAATGATTGGCAATGGAGTGTCGGTGTTCACTGGGGGGAACCGACCCATCAATAATCAATGGTCCACGATCGGGCAAAGTCTGAGACCGCGTCAGCCGCTGTGGCTGCATGAAATGCGAGCCAATCTTCGGTGGGCTAAGATGTCCGGAAGAGCCGTTGGATTGATCAGCTATCGTAACATAAGTGCGATACTCAGGTGAACTATGAAGGTAAGAAGGAACTTCACAGCCATGAATAGCGAGTCCCGGTAAAGATGAGGCCAGATGACCTCGGTATGACCCATGTGGTTGTGTAGAATCTCCAACATAATAGCCAACATACTCTGAAGGTAGATTCTCATCACCAAATGTCGGTTTTGGAATAGCGACACCATTGGGTAAATATGATTCTCCTTCTGTTATGGATCTCGGAGGACATTCAGGCGACCTCCGTGAATTCATGTCTTGCTGGACAGCAGGCAAGTTGGGTAGCATGACAGACGGGACGGGGCGAGCAGGCTGGGACTGAGCTCGTAATCCGCGCGGTGAGTCATTTGCAACCGACGATCGACGATGACTACGCCGTACATCCGGGACTGCAGATGGCAAAGAAGGCGAGGGAGGATTGGTGTTCGTGCCTTGAACTCCGGGCAACGTCACAGGGACATAGGAAGTGTTGAAAAACACGTTTTGCCGTATAGGTGCTGTGAGAGGAGGTTGATTCACTGAGCTGGCCCGCACTCTTGGGTTCTCTTCGGGAGATATGTTCTCGTGTTGCGGTAGAGTGAACTGTAAATATGGCTGCCTTAGCAAAGTTGGAGGCGCTCTGCCGGTCATCAGTGCTTGGTTTTGTAGCTGCATCCGCAACTCCTGTTCCTGCGCCTGAAGGATTTGAATTCGCTGATAGAGATGGTCATGGAGAATGCTTTGAGCCTGCTGTGCTTGGAATGCAATGTCCGCAGTAAAACTAGGATTGGCAGATCGAATATTATTCCTGTTGGCAGTGTTGGACGCCCGGCGGCCCATATTATTGGGGCCACGATGGTAATGGTTTGTATGTCTACCACCTCGACCGCCACCTCTACCACCACGCGACGGCAAAGCGGGCATTGGAGTTAAGATGGCTCGTGGCTGTGGAGCCGGGCGTTCCCAAGTCCGTTCTTCTTCAGGAGGATACTCGTATCGTTCACAACATTTTCCCAGGTCTCCGATCGCAACAGCTTCAAAGGCTCGACGGAGCTCAAGGTGGAGGCCGCGAAACGACGTATCGTCTGCAGTATTTCCCAGATTTCTTGATGTGTTGAAGGGCTCTTCCACACACAAACGATTGTTTTGCAAAAGATGCCAACCCTTTCCTTCCTTGGATACTAGTTTTCCTTCTCTTACGGACATGACGTTCTTCTCGTAATCAACTTCATGTCCATAATATCGAAAAAACTGGAAAAGGAGCTCTCCCAATGTCGATTTGTTCTTGTGTCCGAAGCTAGCGAGTTCTTCGAGATTATCGTCAAAGGAAGATGGGGATTGTCCATTCCCTTGTTGCTTGCGCCGGCTAATGGCTCGTTTTTGTAGACTGGGAACGATGGGTGGCGAGCGGGTTTGAAGGAAATTTATAATCAAGCATATCCATGTGTACGAGCTTAACGTCCCTCCAAGAGCTATGACGAGATGAGTAAACGACAACTTCCCAGTTCCAGGCATCGATACATACCAGCGTCATTTAATATCCGCTGCTTTGTCCAGTGTTTAACAATCATTGCCAGTGGCCTAACACGTTCATCGACTTCGACATAAGTTCGAATCATTCGAGTGTTTTCCAGAGCCATGGTGTTATTGACGTTCATGTCGCATGCAACTTGGAGTTCCGGGTCCCATATTTTGACAATTGGTACTTTTGCATGAGAAACACACACAACGCGTTCCATCCCATCTACTCGTGTTAGGTTGCGAGACGCCAAGGATAGGGGCAAATGATGCACGTACTCTTCGCAAGGAAGTCTGCCAGCAGGCACACATGTTCAAGTTCTTTAAACGGAGTTGTTATGCAAATATCCACTGAAAGAGGAGTTAGATTGATCCAGGTACTAGCACAGGGTAAGAATACATCGTCAACCTACCATCAGAATCACTTGAGCAGAGTTTGTTCCCTGATGATCCAAAGACATGTACCTTGATGTCATTGCCAGGCCACTGTGTGTTGAGGAGGTTCTCAAGTTTCTTGACAAATTTTATTCTCCGCTGCTCGCTCTCTGAAGAGGGCAACAACTTTTTGTACAGCTCTTTCATGTGGGATGTGAGTCTCTCCTCATCTTCCGGTGCCAATTTGTCCTTCAGCGGGCCCTGTTCCTCCGGCAGTAAATCGGCGCCCAGAGAATATGGCATCCTCCTCCGGAAGTGAGCCATCGCAGTTTCATATTTGCAGCCTCCATATTGCTTCCGCAGGGGCAGAATGTGGTTTAATTCGGAATGAGCGGAGCGAGGAGAACTGCTGCGGCGATTAGGCGAGGGAGACCTGGAGTGGGACCGAGATGGAAACCGGAGGCCACGGGGGTGATGGAACGGGGTTGCGGGGACGGAACTCGATTGCTGGGTGGTAAGGGCTGGGCGGGGAGGGAGTTGAGAGTGAGCGTCGGCGGGTATGGGCCACGACATATTTGTCGACGTCTCGGATGCTATCGGTGAGCTGTCACCTTCGGTGTGAGAAGATGCGGCATCCCCATACACCTCCGCTCCCATGAGGCACCCCCCAACGATGCTCGATAGTGCAGAAGGAGCGTCCGAGTTGTCAAGATTCAGAACAGGAGCCGAGCGGCGCAGATCTTAGGGCAAATGTCCGTTGCGTATATACTCCGGCTACCAAGGGAGTCGTGCAATGTAGTAAGACGCAAAGGAGTATGACCACCAAGCCCGAGGCCCCTCGGGGGAATAGGAGATCTCCGGAGATGTGGGTGAGGTCAGGGTCGAGGCACTGATAACGTGGAAAGAGTAAGCAAAAAGTCCGCCAAGTGAGCGATTGTCAATTCGAAAGCAATTCAATATGGGTTTTTTTTTAAAAAAGAAAAAGAAAAAAACAAAAAGAAATGGAAAGAAAAGAAAAGACAAAAAAATATATCTATCTTGTAGAGGTAGCAATGCGGTCCTTCGTCGCCTGGTTTTGGAAGCGCCGTGCTGTCGACATTCCGGGGGGGTGGGAAAGGAATTTCGAAGACGGCCAGGGGTAGGAGAGATTTACCTTGATGTCCTCGAGAGGAATTTTTAGGGAAAGAAGTGTTGGTGAAAGTACCGGGTGGTCGCGTCGTCCCAGAGAACGCCGTGGGAGTGAATGATGGTCTTCCGCACAATAGGGTCAGGTCATTGATGTTACATCCAGACAAGCAGAAACATAAAGCTGAAGCGATGGAGGGTCGATCCGATCAGAGTTGCCAATGCACGGCAGAGGAACACACAATCATGAAATGAGACGATTGTCAATCAAGACAAATAGGGGATGAAGGATGGTCGGACTCTATGTTGGGGGAAGAGAGAGAGGGAGGGAGGGAGGGAGAGACAGGGAGGCAGAATCGGAGAGGTTCTGACGGGTCGTCGACAAGCAGCAGGTGTTGAAAACCAAGATGGCTTGCTGCTGGGTGGAGGGAGATAGCGAGCTTGCTTACCTACGACCTCTACCGCTGGCACGCCGGGAGGGGAAGAAGCCCTACGTACGGAGTGCTCGGTATTCTATACTGTATTTTTACGTGGCTCTTACGCGCGTGTGTACCGTGCATCCCGCCGCAGAAGTGCTGTGCGCGCAAGTCATAGCCCGTACGGATCCACGTGAGCTTACACAGGAGTTACCTGGATGGAGACTCTGCACCACCACCACATCAGGCCCTGTCCTACTGAAGGATCCCTTTGTTCAAGCATCGCCGGGACTGGCTTTTCTCCCGCCCTCTGCCATTGTCTAAGGCTGCTTGCGGGTTGCTGGACGAATAGCCTGTTTCCCCTTCCCAGGTGACAATTCCTGGCGGCTACACTAACTAAACACCATCCTATCACCATCAGCTTCTCCCATGTATGATCCAGCTGGGTATAGACGTTTACTTGCGGGGGATGCGCACATGCAGACATATGACGGGGGGAACTGTTAAGCGGACCAGCCAGGCCGCATATTGTGGGAGAGTTATCCGCATCTCAGCATAGCCCGATGTTTCCCTTGCATGGGATTCGCCTTCAATCACATTTGGCATCTTTCAACACGGACGCCAGAGAGAGAAAAAGAAAAGAAAGGAAGGGCAAGAAAAAGGAAAAAGAAAAAGAAATGCATGTAGTAAAGAAAAAAAAAAAAAAAAAAAAAAAGCAAATAACCAAAGCAAGGGAAAAAGAAAAGAAGCCCTATCGCAACCGTTTCCATCAATCGAATGGCATGGAAGCTCTGGCCGGGATGGATGTCGTCTTCCTCGTCATTCGCTGCTTGGGAAT